TCTACATAATGCTCAGAATTGAATATGAGAGACAGTTAGACCGGGCTGACGGACCATTATGGCCTCATTACTGCAAACTTTATTCTCTTAATGCAGCCCAAGATTGAAATGCCCTTTTTGGGGAGACTTTCTCATCATACTGCTGATTCATTTTAGGCTTGCAGTCTACCAAAACCACCAGATCTTTTTCATATAAACTGTCTACCCATGAATTCTCTATCTTGTGCTTGTAAGATGCATTTATCCCCACTAAATTTCACTTTATTCAGCCCAGTGTTCTACCTGCTCACGATCTTTTTGGATCTTGATTTTACCATCCAGTGTATTAGCTATCCTTCCCAGCTTTGTGTCATCTGTGAATTTGATAAATATGCCATCCACACCTTTGTCTAAGCCAGTGATTAAAAATATGAAACAGCACAGGGCCAAATACAGCTTCCTGGGTGTATTGCAATGAGACAAGTTGAGATGGCACCATTAATAACTACTCTATAGGTCTGGCTAGACAATAGCTCTGAATTCATACTAGTCATATTCACTTGATTTAAATTCCAGCCCTGGTGGGAAAACATGACCCTGCTGTGGGACAATGTAAAAATCATGGGCTCCCTGGATTAGAAGATGCTATGCTTTTTCCCCCACTGGCCTAGTCCAGGAGTGTATGGATCCCATCCATCCCAAAGTGGGGATTGCCATGATCTACAGCCTAAGTGAGGCCTCATTCATAGCCAAGCAGGCTGGAGCACCAAGAGCAGCTGAAGAAATTATCTCTGCCTGGCCAGAATCAAGGAACCTGAGCTGGAAGGAGCATCAGAAGCCATCTCATCTAATACCTACCTGGACGTACATACCCCACCGGAAGTCATCCATCCTTTTCTTGTTTGCTAGGCCATGAGGTTAAGTGACTTGCCCAGGGTCACACAGCTAGCAAGTGTCAAGTGTCTGAGGTCACATTTGAACTCAGGTCCTCCTGACTCCAAAGCCAGAGCTCTATCCATTGTACCACCTAGCTGCCCCAGTCATCCATCCTTTGCTGGAAGACCCCTAATGAGAGGCAAGTTACTGTTTGCTCTAGTAGTCCATTTCTCTTTTGTATAGCGCTAATTGTTAGGAAGCTTTTTTTTAATTAAACTTAAATCTGTAGCTCAGCAATTTCCTCCCAAGGCTCCTAATTCTGCCCCCTAGGGCCATAGAAAACAAATGTAATAGAGCTCAGGTGTTTGAAGACAGTTAGTTATTGTGTCCTCCCTGAACCTTCTTTTCTACTGGACAACCACACCCAGTTCCTTCAAGAGGCACTTATCCCATGTGATCTTAAACTTTTCACCTCCCTGGAATGGACTCCAACTTAACAGTATTCTTCCCAAAATGGGGCAACCAGAACTGACCCCAGTACAAAGGATTATCATCTCCCAAAGCCTGGACAACTCTGCCTTTCATCACAGCCTAAAAATCACATTTGACTTTCTCTCTCTTACCTCTTCCAGCTGCTCAGAGGAGGGGGCAAAGTGTGGGCCTCCTGGACACCATAGTATAAAGGAGAATGCCTAGAGTGGAGTTTAAGGAACAAACACTCTGCAATCCTCTCTTTAGCCTGACAATCCCAGCTGAAAAACCAGCACTTCTGAAAGAGGGCAGGAGGTGGAAAGAGGCCTGAATGATGGGGTGGAACCTGGAATTTGGAGTCAGCAGACGGGGTTTAAATCCCACCCTGCCACTTAGTAACCGTGTACGTATGTGAGGCCTTGGGCAAGTGGTTTTAAACTCTTATGAGGTTTCCTCCTCTATTAAAAAAAAGCAGAGTAATGTTTATGCTGCCTACCTTGGTGAGGAAAGCAATATCCAAACTGTAAAATCCTATAGACATGGGAGCTATTGTTTTCTCTCTCTCATCTTCCCCTCCCCCAAGCTCCTGCTGCCTCTGCCCTACCTAGTTCAGGCCCTCCTTGCTTCTTGTCTGTGTTATTGCTGTGGCCTCCACTGCCCAAGTAACTTCCATCCTCATGATGATAGCTAGTACATAGCACTTTAAAGTTTGCAAATCACTTTCCAAATATCTCATTTCATCTTTATAACAATCCTAGGAGATAAGTGCTTTTATCATCCCCCGTTTCACAGATGAAGAAAGAGGGAACTGAAGCAGAAATTAGGTGACTTGCCCAGGGTCACACATCTTGTGTCTGGGGCAGGATTGGAACACAGGTCTTCCTGACTCCAGGCCCAGCACTCTATTCACTGCACTACCTAGCTCCTATGACTATCTCCTTTCTCTACTCCAAGCCTCCTCTGAAATTAAGCATAAACAAATTCTTCAGCAATTTTGCTTCAACATCCCTTTCCAGCCCTATTGCATACTCTTCCCTTTCACTCTTACAGTCAAAATGAATTGTAATAGCTAACATTTCTATAGTGCTTACTATGTGCCAGGCACTATGACAAGCACTCTACAATTATCTCATTTGAACCTATCCTGAGTAGGTACTATCAGCACCCCCATTTTATAGACGAGGAAACTGAGGTAAACAGAGGTTAAGTGACTTGCCCAGCAGCACACAGCTAGTAAAGTGTCAGAAATTAGATTTGAACTCAGGTCTCCCTGACTTCAGGTCCAGTGATCTATCCACTATGCTACCTAGCTGTCCCTTGCCTGGAAGGAGCTTCCCACATCTGTTGATGCTTTTTCCTTCCTTCAAAGCCAAACTCAAGTGCCACCCTCTCTATGACCCCCTTCCCCCTCCCAATAATTTCTCCCTCAAATATCTCGTAACAAATTTATATTGCTCTTTAAAGATTGCACAAAGCACTTTCCTGACAACCACCTCTTGAGGTAAGTAGGATAGGAACTAGTCCCCATGAGTTTATTGGTATGAGGAATTCCTAAAGGAGGAAAAGCCCTCTACCATTACATGTTAGCACTTTTTTCTACAGTGGGCACTGAGAGGTTAAAGAATTTGCTCAAGTTCACTCAGCTTGCAAGGATCAAGAGGCAGGACTTGAAGCCAGATCTTCCTGGCTTCATGGCTGGATTGCTATCCACTGAACCACACGGCTTCTAGCAGTACAAATATTATTATTTTACAAGTGAGGGGACTGAGACCTAGAGAGCTTAAGCTACTTACTCAGTGTCTCAGGTAAGATTTGAGCTAGGCTTCTGCTGACTTCCATGGTCTTTCCACTGTCATTCCAGTGGCCTCAGGTACCTTGCCTCCCTCCTACGGTATGCTATTGTCCTTCCCTCCACTAGGTTGTAAATTTCTTGAGAGTACAGTCTATGCTGTATCTATCTTTGTATCCCAGACTCCTGAACAGAGGCTTAATGTTTGAATTTGAATCCAGAAGGGCCCCAGGAGAAAGGGGAACATGGATCCAGAGCCCTGGACTGTCACAGTGGGCTGGATATTCCAGGTGCTTGACATCCCTACTCTGTTCTATGGCATGGCCTTGGAGAGATGGTGGGTATATCACTCAGGCTTCAGAAGGTAGGAAACCTAGGCATGGTAACACATGCCCGTGAGCCACCAATCTAAGGCTGGTGTATTGCTTGAGCTCTTAGGGAGCTGCAGGGGGCTAAAGCCAATCTGGTGTCTGTCCTCTTTGTCACTAGTATGGTGGGCCGTGGGAGTGTGTGTGGGGGGGTGTTGGTGGTACCAAGCTGCCTGAGATCAGGCCCAGGTCAGAAGTAAAGCTTCTTTACCAATCAGCAGTGGAATCTGGCCCACATGTGGCCATTGGACATGTAACCTGGGAAATCCAGTCTCCAGGAAAAAAAAATGTGGAAAAGATGGATCAAGTTGGTTCTGGCCTATCAGATTTAGGGGATGGGAGGGAAATGGTGTGGTGAGTTGGAACGGGGCTGACCATTGTATGAGACTTAGTACTTGTGTGAAGCCAAGGTAATTAGCACCCTAATCAAAGGCTCTAGGCAGACCCCATATAGAGTATTGCTTTCAGTTCTGGGTAGCTCATAGGATTGTAGAATTTGAGCAGGAAGCCACCTGAGAAATCATTGACTCCAACTCTATTTCATAAATGAGGGAACTGAAACCCAGGGAGATTAAGTAATTTGCCCAAGGTAGGGAATAGAAGAGAAGGATTTGAAAGCCAGGGGCACTGCTGCTATGTCCTTGGGCTTTCTCAATTCTAAGGACATTGACAAGGTCAAGGGCATCCTGGAGGACGACTGGGCAAGGGACGGGGACAGGAGGCATGTGACAATTGACTGAAGTAACCGGGGAGGTTTATTCCAGAGAAGTGAAAACTGAGGGGGCACGTGATCACTGCACACTTTGTCTGGACTGAAGGACTGGCATGTGGAAAGATTAAACTTGCCCTATCAGGCAAAATTAGGAGTGACAGAAGTCAGGCAGATTTAAACTTAATATAAAGAAAAATGCCCCCAAATTAGATCGAGAATAAAAAGCAGTGGCTTTGAGAGGGGAGTGATGGTGGGGGTTGGGTAGAGTGGGGGTGTTTCACCTCCCTGGAGGACTTTCAGACAAGGCTGATCACTTTCGAGGAACACTAGGGAAGACATTGTTGCTCAGGCATACACCGGGCTAGACGGCCCCTGAAGTTCTTTGCAATGGTAACCCTTGAGCCAGTTGTCTGGGAACAGAGCTCTGGGGCCTGACTCCTGGGTTAGGTTGGATGGCTGCCTGGGAGGGCAGAGGAAGGCAGCAGCCTCTGACTTCTGGTCATGTTTCCCCTGGCTGATTTCCTAAACAAACCCCAATGTCTTTTTCTGCAGGGGGCTGGGATCAGAAGGTATCTGTGGCCGTGGTAGGGCCCTAAAAAGAATGAAGGTCCAAAAAAGGGGCTTCTGGACGCTCACAGATATAATCCTGCCCTTCCCACCCAAAAGTGAGGGCTGGCTCTGGATTTCAATTGGGCCCATGCTGACCAACCCTGCCATCTAGTGGCCGGACCAAGAGCCTGCACATAATGCCATCCCCTTCCCTTCTACTTGTCCTAGCTTCCCAGAGAACACACGGAGACAAAGGTAGGGGAACACCAGGGATCTTGTTGGGATCAGTGCCTTGGCCCAGCCAGACATCCCTCTGGGATGGCCCCGGCTCTCCCTCAGCCTCAGACAGGTCCAAGCCTGGGGCCCTCTCAGACAGGAGAGTCAGTCATCAGGGTGGGGACCGAGCTCCCTCCTTCTTCCGTAGCACGAAATCCCTGGGGCTAGCTGGGCTCATGGCATAGAACACATTGGCGTCGTCTGGGATCAGGAGCTCTGTGGGTGGAAGGCCCACATGGTATCAAATTGCATCAAGTTGGTATACTTAGGCTGTGAGTCTTTTCTTCCTCCGTATTTACTGTTTGTTTGGTTTTTTTTCCCCTTACGTAGCAGGGAAGGGGGTCAGAGGATCATAGAAATTTAGAGCTGAAGGGACCTTTGGCCTCTTATTTGACAGAGGAGGAAACTGAGACGGGGCAGGGCAGGGGGGAGAATCACATGAGCAAGCTCATAAAAGTGGCAGTACCAAACTTTGAACTAGACCCCAAGTCTGGTGCACCATGCCCACCTCTACACAAAAAGCCTCAGTGACTGGCGACTAACTCCCTTCCCCTTGTTAACCGCACTCAGTCTGAAGCAGCTTTCTGCCAGAATTGTCTGCCCTTGAATTTTCTCAATCTTGAGGCTCAGGAGGAGGGAAGGGCAGGACTGGGATTGCCTCCTCAGAGGGCTACTGAGAAGGGAAAGCTGGTTGGAGCTCTGCCAGAAGCCCTCTTGGAGAGTTGAAGTCCTTGCTCGGTTGGGGCCACCAGCCACCGCCCTGGGTTCCCCGGTCCCTGGAGTCACTACAGTCCCTGGGGCTCTCACACCCACTCACCCCGGTCCCCAGGCAGGACCTGGAACAGCTGATAGTCACGGGGCTGTGGCTGCTCCAGGTGCAGCTTCTGAAGGGCTCGGAGAACCACACCTGGAACTTTGTCCTGGCTAGTCAGCTGGGGGTGGAGGGTGGAGAAAGAATTCTTGAGAAAGAGAAGTGGGGAAGGTGCTAGGGAAACAGTGAGTGGAGGGAGGGAGCAGTGGTGCAGGTCAGTGAGAGGTTCAAGAGGCTGCAAATGGGGTGGGAATGTTCTAAGCGTGGAGACAACCTCCCTTCCCACCCTGATTCTCCCTTTGCTGCTGTAATACAGACTGTGCTCCTCCTCCTTACCAAAATGCTCCTATAAAGGTTCCCAGGATCATGGTCAATGCTGACTCTGATGACACAGGTATCCGGGGTCTGCTGCCCTGGGTGGGAAGTTAGAGCATGGCTCCCAGGGGAGGCTGGGGCAGCCTGGAGCTCAGGAGCTTCGGTTCCCAGAGGCAGCTCCACAGTGCCCTGGGCAGGGGAACAAGTTACAGCAATCAACAGTATCTAGTGCACATCCTGGCTTCAGTACAACCACACATGGACACACAACATCTCTCACTCTCACCCACCATGTGTAAGTCACCCTCATCAGATGTTGGGGAGGAGATGCTTTCCTATTCTTTCATTTGAGCTCGTTAACACCTCCCAGCCACACTGGTGTAATACTCCTCTGTTTTACACATGAGAAATTTGAAAGCCAGACAGGAGAAATGACTTGCTCAAGATCATACAGTCAGTGGTAGGGTCAAGACTAGAACCCAGGTCTCCTGACTTTCAGTCCAATTAAGTAGTTTTCCCAGTACTCTGGCTGCCTCTTCACACAAACACACAATATCATACATAGTTGAGGTGATGCACCTTGTGGCCCAGACCAGTTGCCCCTGGGGATGGAGGAAGGCTAAGGGTCAGGGGGTCCCCATCTCCAGGGCTGGATGGGTAGGAACCTGAAGAGAGACTACAGGAGACACAGAAACCAGAGATGGCATTATTCTCTTAACTGCAGACCCTAACCTTGCCCTCCAACCTTTATCCTCTCCCAACCTGCCTTACCTGGGACTGGAAGAGGGGGGGTCCCCAGGCTGGTGGCTGGGAGAGGAGCCCCTTTCCCGTGACAACTTCCTAAGAGTTGAGAGAGAGAGGTGTCAGATATGGCTCCAAAGGAAGCCCAGGTTTCCCCCAGTCTCTCTCCCTCCCCCATAATTTCATCATTCTTCCACCCTAAGATGGAAATTGACTCACGCACTAAGTCTCTTAGTAAGACTTATCCGTCGCCGGATCCTGGGGGAGCTGGGACAGGAGGCAGCTGGGGGCTCAATAACCCGGGACAGGCGGTAACTGGGGATGATGGGAGTGAGGAAATGGGGACCAGAGTCAAATCAGAGACTGGGTTGGAATCAGAAGAATGGAGATGGGGGCCAGAGGGATGGGACCAGGTGATAAGAATGCATCAGAGGAATGAGGTTCAGAACATGAGTCAATTAATTCATTTAACAAACATTCAATCATCATGCTTTGCCTCTGCCCCATGTCCCCCTGCTGCCTACCAAGTCAGTAATTCAAGGGTCACTCTATGCTCCAACCTAAGTAAGTAAATATCTAACCCTGAACCACACATGCCCTATACTCCCCTCCTTTACTTTTGCTTACAGTGTTCATCCTTTACCTTTTTCCTGTTGAATTCCTATCCATCCTTTAAAGCTAAGCTCAAAGGGCACATTCTCCAAGAAGTCCTTCCTCAATCAGTAATGACTTTCTCCTTCATACCTCAAATAGGATGGTGCTTATATCTAACATAAACCACATTTGTTGTCTGTATTTGTGTCTTATCCCTATACAAGACTGTGAGCTCAATGAGGGAAGGAAGCATGCCTTATCCAAGCTTACCCAGAACTCAGTACAGGGCTTTGCACAAAGTAGACATTTAATCAATGCTCGCTTAACTGAATTGTGTTCAGGAAGAGAAGCACTGTGGGATAATGGACAGAGAACCAGCCCAGAAACACACTAGCTCTATGATCCTGGGCACTTTGTTTTACATCTCATTGCTTCCAGACAACTAACTCTTAAGATGTGTAAGTTACAGAGCAAATGCTGATTTGCATTAATAGAGGGGGTTTCCTCACTGGAAGTTTCCTAAACCAATGGAGTCACAGATCTGGTCGACAAAAACAAAAACCATTTAGGAAGTGCCTACTTGTATGCTGGGCACTGAGGGACAGATATATGACAAAGCCCGCCCTAGAGGAGCTTACAACTTAAGAAGGAGAAATGCGGGGGAGGTAAGGGCACAGGAGAGGACCAGGCAGGCAAAATGCTCTTTGAAATGTGAGAGGGCAAAAAACACTTTCAGCTAGAGAAATCCAAGAAGACTTCCTCAAGGAGGTAGCAGCCACTTTGCTAACCACTGAAGTAATCAGGCGATTCCCACATCCACAAAAGGGGAGAAAAGAGAATGGATCTAATCAGATAAGAAGCTGACTTGAACAAAGACACGGAGACAGGAAGGAACAAGGCAAGAATGAGGGATAGAGAAGCCTGGTTGGATTACCAGAAGGGGAATAGTATGAGCTACAGTTAACCACGTAGGTTGGAGCTGGGATCCAGAGTTTGGACTTAATTCAAAGGAGATTGATTGCTTGCTCCAGGGTAAGCCCCTGGGGGCTTGGTCAGAGACGTCAGACGTAGGTTGTGCATCACAGGGTAGTGGAAGCAGGGATTAGACACGTCACCTCTGCTCCTCACTGAGGATACGCTGGGCACGGAAGGCAGCAAGAACAGGTGGCCGAGGTGGCAGGCTATAGTTCACACAGCGACGCTGAAGGTGCTGGATTCGGGACAGGATCTCCCACTCCTTGGAAAAGGGAGGCAAGGTTCTTTCTGCTGGACCCTCCCTCCCCCCACTCCCACCTCCCAGGCATTCCCACTCCCACCTGTCCCGGGGTCTTTACCTCTCTCCCCAGTTTCCCTTCATCACCCAGCACACCCTCCCCTTTCCCCTCTGCCCAGACCCCTTTACCTTCCTCCGCTTCTCAAAGTTGATAAGCTCTCCCTGGGGATGGTGGAAAGGAAGCAAGCCTGAGCACAGAACTGAGCTCAGAGTCCCCAAGACAGCCCAGATCACAGGATCATAGAACTTAAAGCTAGAAGGGACCTTAGAGATCTGGTCCCACCGCCTTAAATTTACAGAGGAACCACCTGAGGAGCCTCAGCTCAATGAGTGGTCACTTCAAATGCAGTGCAGTGGGGCAGTCAGGGGAGGTCGTAGGCTTCTGGAAAGGTCTCAGTAGCAAGGATGACCATGAAAGGATTGGGGGTTGGGGGGGGACTGGGGAGTGGGATCAGGGGCCAAGCTTTCACCTCCAGCTGGTCAGGCAATGCAGTGTCCAGCATGACCAGGTCAGTGAGGAAGGTGCCCAGGTAGGGAATAGGACCAGGGGGCACTTTCTGGAATTGATCAGAAACTCAATCAATTCCCTTGGGTATTATTGTCCCAACCTTGGTCCCACCTGTTCCATCATATCTCCCAATCCCAGTCCCTCCTTCACCCCCAGAACCGACTCTTTGTAGCCCTCTTCACTAGGCCTGCCCCCTTCTCAAGTTCAATGTAGCCCCTCACCAAGGGAGGGACTCTTGGAGCTGTCTCCTCTTCAGGGGACGTCAAAGGGGCTTCTTCCTAGGATAGAAAAGGGTTAAAGAAAGAACCCAAAGGATAGGACCCTGTCCCTTTTTCTAATAGCTAGACCAGAGCCCCCCAGAGGAAGAAAACCTGTTTTGTGGAACAAAGGTTTAGCCACAAAGGCAAAAAATGTTGGGCACTGAAGGAAGAGGGTACCCCCTTAGTGGAGAAAGCAACAATGGTTTGGAGACAGACGGAAGCTTCAAGGGCCCCATCTTTAAAAGGGTCAAATGAGGCAAGAGAGAGAAACATAAGGAATGAGGTCTTGTCCATTAAGGGGTGCTAAGGCTGAACTTCGGTGCTGGACACTGGGGAAATATCAACTAGGAGAAGTCCCAAACCCTCATCACTGCTTCTGGCTAGGTTGTTTCTATTCATACAGAAGGCTACTGGTTAAGTACACTGCTAGGCAAGTGTCTACCAACCTAAGCATTATATGCCACCAGCCTCAAGTCAACATACATTTATGAAGCACCTACTATGTGCCAGGCTGATAAAAGTTAAGCCCGGTACAAAGCGATAGCTCTGAAAGACCATGGGTACTCATTGTCTTCTCGGTGAGTCCTTTCCCCATCCAGCTTGGGTACTCCCACCTCAGGGACCCCAGCGTCCAAGGTTCTTCTGTACCTGGGAGAGAATCTCTCTGCTGTTAAGGTGATTGTTCTCATCTGAGAAAATATTGGAGAGTTTCCGGTATATGGACAGTGGCTCCCTAGGGGAGAGAGAGAGAGAGTGGGAGGAGGAAGGGAGCAAGGTCAGGGGTGAGAGAGCACCTCTTTGAGGTCTCTGCTAGTCAGTCTATCTATCTACAGCATCTCAGAAAGGGATGTCAAGAGTCACTTTCATCAGTCACACCAATCTGGAAAGGTCTCAGTAGCAAGGATTCCAAAGGGGATTAATCTCCTTTACAACATCTGGTAGGTCCCTTTCTCCTCCAGTAGCTCATTTCACTTCTGCATGCCTAGGAGCATTAGGAAACTTCCCAAATCCTAAATCTGCCTCTTGGCAACTTCCAACCCAGTGTTCCTAGTTCCATCCTCTGAGGCTATGAAGAACTACTCTGTAACAGTCTCTACTGTCTCTGCCAAATCCCATCTATCCCCATTCTTGTTATTCAGTCTATAGTCTTCGATCAAGGAAGAAGAGAATCAATCAGGTCCCTGAGGTGGCATCCTCCCTCTGGCCTCCTCTAGCTCACTCACAGCCACTCCTGCAGCCCTCACCAGCTCACCGCTGCCCAGCTCCTCTTGAGTCTGTATATGGGGTTGGACTGCAGCGCTGAGAGGATGGCCCGGAGGGATGAGAAGTTCCTCAGCTCCCTACAGCGCTGAGTAAGAAAAGCTAGGCCATGTTAGATCCTGTTAGTCTGTGTTGAAGACCCCTGGCATCCCACCCATGGAGGCATCCCACCTGGAGGCTTTCCAACTACATATAGCCTCCCACCTGAGCAATAAAGATCCATTTCTCCAGGCGTTGGGCCCGATGGGGTGGGGGCAGTCCTGGTCCCACCAGCACTGAGCTCAGGACACAACTAGTTACTGCATTGAACTGTGCCACAGTGGCTCGGACAGAGGGGGCAGTCCCACGGCCCACTGCTTTATCCCGATGAGACCACACAGAACCCAGGCACTCCCAAAGGCATACTTGAGAAAAAAGTTCCTGCGAATAAGGGTGGAGGTGGAGAGAGATACAACTGAATATAAGGACCTTCCTGCATTGTTGGCCTCCCAGCCCATCCCACCCCCAATCTCCAATCTCCCCTGGGGCTCTAAGTTTGAGTGAGGTGGTAGTTCTGAGGTCCAAGCAAGGGACAAAGAAGGCAAACATCCTTGCCCTATACATCAGGTATAGGTTAGGGAGGAGAGGGCCAGGGAAGTGTCCTTACTCCATCCATTGGGATCAGGGGGGTGGGGACAGATGTTCCCTGCCCAGGGGGGTAAGACAGAAGTGTCCCACAGGGTTGGGGAAAGGGGCCAAGGGAGCCGGTCACAGAACCAGGTGATCTCAGAATCAGAAAATACTTCAGAGCCCATCTAGTCCAGCTCATACTTGAATCCCTCTACTGTAGACTGGTCAAGTAGTCATTTAGCCTTTGATTGAAGGCCTCCAGTGAGAGGGAGCTCACTACCTCTCAAGACAGCTCATTACTTGGGGACAGCACCAATTGTTAGGACAGCAAGTCAAATCTGCCCCTTTGCACATCCACCTACCGCTCCTAATACTGCCCTCTGCAATCAAGTAAGTAGCACATAGCTCTGCCCTCTCCCTTATGAAAAATACTTCAAAGATCATAGATTCAAATACTTTAAGGATCAGAGATTTCATACTAGAAGGAAACTTATCAGGCAGAGAATCCACTCTGTCATTTTCTAGATAAGGAAACTGGAGCCCAGAGAGTGACTTACCCATGGTGGCAGAGGTGACCAAGCTGGAATCTGAACACAGGACCTCAAATCTAGCACTCTCTCTACTATATGCCTGAAGATAGTGACCATGTCCTTCCCTAAATCTCCTATTCTTCAGGCTAAATCTCCCCAGTTCCTTCAACTGATCTCACATGGAACAACCTTCAGATCCTTCACCATCTTGGTTGCTCTTTCTAACTTATCTGTGTCTCCCACTTAAACAATGATTCCAAAATAGCAAGGTAACACAGTGGATGGAGCACTGGCCCTAGAGTCAGGAGGACCTGAGTTCAAATCCGGCATCAGACATTTACTAGCTGTGTGATCCTGGGCAAGTCACTTAACCCCAACTGCCTCCAAAAACAAACAAACAAACAAAATGATTCCTGGAACTGAATCCAGATGTGGGATGACCAGAATTCAAATCTTGCCTCTGCTTCTTACTCGTTAGGTGACCTTGGGCAAATCACTTCACCTGTATCTTGTTTTTTCTTCCCATCTGTAAAATGAAGCCGTTGGACCTTCAAGGTCCTCCAGCTGTAATCCTATGATTTGTAATCCTGGTGGAAGCTAGGTGGTGCAGTGGATAAGGTACTGGGCTCAGTCAGGAAGACCTGAGTTCAAATCCAGTCTTAGCCACTTACTAAGTTGTGTGACACTGAGCAAGTCCCTTAACCTCTCTCTGCCTCAGCTTCCTCAGCTGTAAAATGGGGATTATAATGACACTCACTTCCAAGAGTTGTAGAGGGGATGGGATAATATCTGCAAAGCATTTAGCAAACCTTATGGTGCCATATAAATGCTAGCTATTATTATCTTATATTATGCCTAGAACTCTTAAAGGACAACTGAGTGTTCTATCACACTCTTCACCCTACTTGTTCTAAATTTAAACTCCCTACAAGCCATTTCTCTTTGTCAGAATTTCATTCCCTTTCCTATGAAAAACAGAAAAGAGTTGAGTAGTTTTGCCCTCTCTGAGTGAATCCATTCTTCTCCCTTTCAAGCAGCAGTTCTATCTTGTCTTTTATCCTTTTCTTTTCCCCAATGTAGGGAAAAAAACCCCACAACCCCTAAACTCATCCAAATGTACTTAACTTTCCTCAACAGCCTCTGCCCATTCTGAATTTTTGTGCTCCAATACTATTCTTAAATGACTTTTATATTTACTTTCTGTTACCTAGCCATGTTTCTACCTAAGGCCCTTTTTAACATCTCAATTGGACAAATAATTCCCCCCATGCATCCATTCACATCAATCTCTATGAACACCCTCTTTTCTTTTTCTTTGGGTAAGTACTGGTTTCTCTTTGGGTCTTCAGAATCCCATCCCTAAGAATTTCTTACTACTATTAGGCTGATTTTCTCTGTCATTTTTTAGTCCATGGGAACCTTTTTTTTTTTGAACCTTTTGAAATTTGCTCTCTCCAAATCTAAGATGCATGTCAGTATTTAACCTTATTCCAAGCAGCAGGGTCAAGAGGAGCTGGATGCTACCCTCACCATATCCATCACGGTCAGCTGCTCAGCTACCTCATCCACACTGAAATCCAGCAGCTCTGGGCACTCTTTCACATGTTGTTCTTCCTTCTCCAGGGGCTTTTCTGGGTCTAGAGATCCTGGGCAGGGGGAGTTAAGAATGAGGAAAAAATGGCCTTTCTCCCACTTGGAGAGGGGCAACAGGTATCAGAAGTGGACAGTTGTGGTGTCAAGGTTCTACTAGAGCAATGAGAGGACCAGGGGGATGGGGGTGAGAACAAGGGAGGAGGAACAAACCTTCCTTTAGCCATACTTAGCCTCTCACATGGGTGTGAGCCCTGAACATGAGCCAGGTAGAGACAACAGAAAGGGGGACAGAGGAAGAGGAGAGAATGGTTGGGGGTTAGAAGGGAGGGCTGTGTCCCAGAATACAACCCAGTCATGGAAAGAGGAGGTTTAGTGCTATAGAGAAAGAGACCACTGAAAATGGAATCAGAGGAACTCACATCCCAGCTCTGCCACTTCCTAGCAGGCAGATGGGGCAGCTAGATGGATAGAGTGCCAGCCCTGTAATCAGGAGGACCTGAGCTCAAATGCCACCTCAGCTGTGTGACCCTGGGAAAGTCATTTAATCCAGTTTGCCTCAGTTTCCTCATCTATAAAATGAGCTGGAGAAGGAAATGGCAAACCACTCCAGTATCTCTGCCAAGAAAACCCCAAATGGAGTCACAAAGATTCAGATATGACTGAAACAACTCAACAACAAAAAGATGGGAGACCTTGGACAAGTCATTTAATCTGGAGCTCCGTTTTCTTCATCTGCCTGTATAGTGCTTTAAGCATAATAGACACTTAATACATGTTTGTTGAATTGAATCAGATCTGTAAAATGGGGGCATTGAACTACATGATCTCGAAGGTCCCTTCCAGCTCTAATCCTGGGAGCCTATGATTTCAGCCAGGTTGGAAGAGGGAGCCTTTATCTTTCAAATAATATTAGCAATAGTAATGTAATATTCCTGAAGTACTTTATGATGAGCAAAGCCTTTTCCTCACCACAACCTTGTGAGGTAAGAAATAAAAGGTACTATCCCCATTTCACAGATGAGAAAGCTGAGGTTCATCAGAGATAAGGTGACTTATCTAAGGTCACACAATTAATATGTATCAGAGTTGGGATTGAAACCCCAGGTTATACATACTATAAGACCAACATCTTCTTTCCACTACCGATTGCCTCTCATCCACCGAGATACTTCTGAAAGAAGGACTCACCCTGCCCTATTCAGAGTAAAGGACAGAAGAGGGATGCATCCTGTCTTTTTTTAGTTAGCTGCCAATGCCCCCATTCCAATCTCCTAGGATGGCGACCCCAAAAGCAATGGGGCTGGTTGTGGTGGTAGGAGGGGAGGTACCATAGTGAGAAGGCTCTGCCACTTCTGGGGCCTCCTTGACCCCCTCTTTGTCCTCTTGGAATTTCTTGGCCACCTCCTCCTCTTCCTCCTCTTGGAAGTGCTTCAACAGCCTCTCAGCTTCTTGGCTCTCTGCCCCCCCTGGGGCTGCCACACTCAGAAAGGTACAAACCGGACCAGGTTGGGGTGGGCAGGGGGATCTTTGAAGTCCTGGGGGTGATCCAGCAGCCAGGAGCCCAGCACAGATATCAAAGCCCTGTAGCCAGAGTCTAGCCTCAGGCTATGAACTAGCCATGGACCCTTAAAAAACCCACTAATTTCTCACAACCAACCCCTGACTTCTCAAACCTAACTTCCAACCCAGTCATTGGCCTCTTACCTTTCACATTTAACCCCTGACTCAGTCATGGATCTTTCATCCTTGGAGACCCAATCAATGAATGGCTTATAGCCATGGTAGAAAAAAACAGGTACCAACCTGGACTCCTGCTCCTGGCTGTGATCCAAATGACCTTGACCTTGTTCCTTCTGTCCTTCCCTGGAAAACAGCCCCAGGGAAACATCAGTAAATGGAGACTGGAAGGAGGAAATAGAGGGATAGTAGGAGGGAGGGAGGGAGGTTTCATTAACATGAGGATATGGAAATATCAGGACTGGAGGCCAACCTAAAAGACTTAGACTGTATGTTTGTGTGTGTGGGGGGGTAACAGGATCAGGTTCTTAGGGTGATTGAGTGGTCATTGGAGTTGGGAATGAGTGGAGTCAGTGAAGGAGAAGGTGACTCGGGAAGGAGCATCTATTATGGAACAAGAAGACAAGAGTGGAAGGAAGGACAGGCAGGAGATTCCGAAAGGGGAGAGGAGAACCTGATGGACAGCCAAGGAGATACAGAGAAGATGAGGGGTGAAGTCGGGGAGGGACCTCACTAACCCTTGGGGTCTTGGGACCTGCCTCAGAGGCAGCAGGAGACCTAGTACATGGTCTGTGGGTATGAAGGCACGGTGCGTGGCCAGGAAGGCGGGCACGAAGGCCGGGTCCTGTTCATGATCGCCTTTCACCAGCTCCAGTACCAGACGCTCTATTCGAGCTGCGCGCAGTGCCCGAACTTTGCAAGTGCGATAGTGCACAAAATCTTCAGACCGCCCAGGATCAGAAGCCTTCAGGGGGCGAGCCTCAATCAGCCTCTGGCAGCAAGTACCCTAAAACCCTCTAGGGCCCCCGGCCCTGCCACCTAGCTCCTAGCTCCTAGCCCCCAGCCCGGGACTCTGCTCCTGACCCCTCCTCATTCCAGGCTCCGCCCCCAGGTCCACCCTCCTGGCCCGACCCTCCTACCCCTTGCCCTGTTCCTCACCTGGCCCCACCCCCTGCTCCCCCGGCCCAATTCCTCACCTGGCCCCTCCCCCTCGCTCGGTTCCCACCCTGGCCAGGTCGCTGATTGCGCTGCCGACGAAGGGTGACATTGTACACGGCTCCGTCCACCTTCTCTTCGCCCCACTCCTGGAGCGGCGCCTGCGGTGACCCAGAGCCATATTTGGGACTGGAGGTGACTTGGCGAGGAAGTCCCAGGACAGGGAACTTATCTCCCTCCCGCCCCTCCTAGTCCTCTTACTCCGCCTCCCTCCCCCGTCCTGGTTACCAGGGCGAGCTCCTTTCCGGGGGGCCGCTCCATGCCTCGGACACCTGCAGCTGGCCGGGGCGCTCCTGGCCGGACTCTGGCTCCGGCCCCGGCAGCAGCGGCAGCGGAGGGACTGAGACGGAAGAGCGGACCGAGCAGCCTGGAAGCGGAGCGTTCCGGCTTCAGCAGCAGCAGCAGCAGCAGCAGCAGCAGTGGCAGCCAGGCTCCTACTCTGGCCGAGGGCGGGGTCGGGAGAGGGGTCTGCGCTGGGGGGACGATGGCGGAGGGGGGCAGAGGAGGGAGGCGGGGGCTGAAAGGGAGCCTTGGGGCGAGGGCCCAGCTACGCACTGGTATAGGGGGTCACTCAGGTTCAGGCGATTAAAACTGCGGGCGGGGGGCGGGGTTGGGTGCGCACCGCTGACCGCCCAGGTAGGTGGGTGCTGGGCGGGCTATTTCCATTACAAGCAGGATGGGGACACGGGGACAGGAGGCCGGTCAGGGGGCGGGGAGTCCCGGTCACTGCCCACCTGGCCCTGGACAAACCGGGAAGTACTTTCCAAACTTCCAGGGGCTTTTTTGTGGGGGCTGGGGGGGGAGGTGCCCTTCAAATACACACACCTGGGAAGCCCTCCCCTTCCCTGCCCCCCCCAATCCCCACCAGGACCTGAAACCTAACCAGCCTTTATCTTTCTATCTTTCTTGGCCAAAGTCTCAACTCAGGCAGTCGTGGCCAGTTTCTATTTCTCTAGATCCCTATTTATCTGTCTCTACTTATCTGTGTGACCGTGGTCAAGTCACTTAATCGCTGAATCTGTTTCCTCATCTGTAAAATGGGGATAACAATACTTCACAAGGCTGTTGTGAGAAGCAAATGGAATAATATGAAAAACACTTTGTAAATCTCACAGTCCTATACAAATGTGAACATTTAGGACTCTTTGTCTTTGCATCCCTCCCTCTTCCCTTTAGTGCCAATGCCAGTGACCCTTCCACCCAGCACCAGAGGCGCCTGGCAGGCAGACGCAGGAACACAGCTCAGGCTCCTTTGTAATTTTTATTGCCTGAAAAAAAAATGACTACTTGGAGGCAGGCAGTAGACCCTGAGTGTCATACAGGGCCTTTGAGACCTTCTCAGACCCAGGAGGTTTATGATTGATGGTGGGAACAGTCAGAAACTAGGTCCCACCTCCCCTAAGCTGGGCCAGCAAGGCCCTGGGCCTGCTTCCCAAGGGACAGGGACATTGCTTCTCTCCCAGGCCTTAGGGGTAGAAAAGGCCTCAAACTGCTCTTGCCCAGCTATGTAGGCTAAGACTTACTCCTAGGAAGGAGAGGACCCAATCCTCTAGGTAGATCTTGAAAAAGGGGAGAGGACCCAGGTCTACCATTCAGGCCCTTGAGAAAGAACCTGGAGCTAGGCAGGGCCATGAGATGCTCTAACTGGCCCAGGTTGGGATCTGCGACTGCCCCCCTAGAGGGGTGCTAGCAGCGAGGCCAGGAGGTTGTGGCATCTATGACCGCTTTCGAGATCGAGACCGGCCTCTCTTCTTGCTTTTGGATTCTATGAGTTTCTGAGACTGGAACTTCAAGGATGCTCGGGTCACTATCTCCCCAGTCTCCTCCTCACTCTCTTCCTCATCTGAGGGAGACATAAGCAGGATGAAGAAGAGGGGTGGGGGACATGAGGACGTTCCCTGCCCCCAGCACAGATTTCTTGTGCATCTCTCCTTGCCTGTTACTGGCTCCTTGCCTGATATAACCCTATCCCTACCTACCCCCAGGCTGACTCACCAAAGAAATTGTCCTGGGTGGCAGATGTGGGCACGAAGATGCGGGTGTTGTGAGAAGGAAGCTTCCCTTCCAGGGTGGCATAGAACTGTGGGAGGAAAGGACAGAGTAAAAGGGCTGCTGGGCAAAGAGAAGCAAGGCTGCATTTTCTTTAGTGCCACCTTTGTACCAAGCACTGTGCTAGGGCCTTTACAAATATCCCCACCAAACAGTGGGGAGGCCTGTCTAGGGATTCAATATCCAGGAGCAGGAGGCGTGATGGAAAGAGAGAAAATCTGGAACAGTTCCCCACTTAGACCCCTTCAGGGCTCCCACCTCACGCTCAGCAAGCTGTTGCAGTAGATCTGGCACATTGCGTCCTTCCATTTCACTCTGAAGTTTGAGCAACTTCTCCTCGTTCTGAGCCATGAGGTCCAGCACATAATCTACGGTATTAGGGTTTAGCTCCTTTTTGCTTTTCTCCTAGGGAATGTGGTTCGAGTGGAACCAAGGTCTCAGGAAGTTTATAGGTGATGCCTCAAAGAGAGGGAGTGACAGGGAGCTTGGGGGTGTCTGTGGGAGACCCTGGGAAAGTGGTGGGCGGAAGGGTTAGGCATGATAGGGTAATATGTTGAGGCTGGATAAATAGGGGACTTGAAGGGGGTGGGGCAGGGGTTCATATGTCTGGGATATATACCACTGGGATATGCTTCAATTTTTCAGCCAGGTGCTCCACCCCATCCTTGGCAAGCTGCAGTGCTACAATGGTATTTTGCAGCTTCTCCTTAGCTTCTGCTATTTGCTTCTCCTGGGTGTCCAGATGCTTCTGAAGCTCAACCATGACCTGGTTATCCCTGGGTTGGGCAGTGGGGAGGGGAAGGACCAGGTGTGAGGGCCCTTGGGATGACACCCTATCCCCTCCCCCCCAGCACCCCGCTTATTCCCCGCCTCACACCTGATGGCCTTGGCCTCCCCAGAGTACTTGAGCCGAGTGAGCTCCTGCTGCAGACGCTGCTTGTCTTGTTTAAGTGCTGCCAGTGTCACTTCGTTCTCTTGCTTCAGGGACTCCAGGTGTGCAAATGTCTCACTCTGGGCTAAGAACCTGCTCACCACAAACTGTCCCCCCCCCACATCCACTCACTCAGGGATACAGATACACCTAGGAGAACCCAGACTGCTTTCCTTCCCATGGAGTCATTCTCAGACATTGGAACATACTGGGTATCTGACCTACCTACCCCCAGAATCAAAGGGCAAGAGAGGGACAGAGACAGAGACAGATCAGTGCATGAGCCTTGCAGGCTCTCCTACATCTTGTCTAGAGTTGAAGATGCCCCTTAATTTATGGGTGCTTATTTCTTCCTGTGTCTGGGGTAGGGCCCCCATGGGAACCTCTATAGCCTCAAGTCTTTTTCCTCCCACCTGGAGTACCCTCCCCAAGTTAGGTAGGGCAGCCAGAAGGCCTGCCCGGCCTCCCCCTCCCCCGTCCGGTAACTCACGCTGGGGTCAGATACGCCAGTGGCGACCCTGAGCCTGTCACATGCCAGCTCTGTCTGGTACTTGTTCCATTGGTGCTTTAGCTTGTCTGGTTTTGTCCCCTGGGCATCGGTTAAGGTTTCGTCAGACCGAGTGGGTACTTGATCTCGCTGCTGGGTCTGTGGATACCAGTGAGTGGCATGGAAGGTAGTGTACTCAGTTCTGCCACCTTCCTCCCCTGCCTCTTCTTCTTCTTCTCTTTTTTTTTTTTTAGTGAGGCAGTTGGGGTTAAGTGACTTGCCCAAGGTCCCACAGCTAGTACATGTCAAGTGTTTGGTCTGAGGCCGGATTTGAACTCAGGTCCTCCTGACTTCAAGGCCGGTGTTCTATCCACTGCACCACCTCGCTGCCCCTCCCTGCCTCTTCTGAACTGGGTCCACACACCTTCCTCTCAATCCGCTCATTCTGAAGCTTCTTCTCTTCTGTTCTCTTCCTGGCCTCCATCAATACCCTGTCTCGCTCCTTCCGATCTTTGAATAAGTTCTCCTCCAGTTTCTGAAGTTCACTCTGGGGTGGGGGAGGAGGTGGCAAGAACATCAGGGATTAGATAGAGGAAGCCCTGGGGGCCAAGCTTCAGGGTTCCTGCCCCTGGAACAAAGGGGGAGGGGCTGGGGCTGACATACTCAAGGCCCCTGCTCCAGTACCAGCTCAGCCACCAAGAGCTCAGGAGGCTGGATCTACAGGCTTGTTGGGGCTAAGTGCGTCCACGTGTGATTTGCAATGGCCTGGCCAGGTTGAGGTGAGGTGAGGACCAGGGTGAGGCTATGCCATACCTTGGCAGCATCCCGAGCATCTGTGGCTTGCTGGCCCACGTTCTGCAGTTCTGAGAACTCATGTCTTAGTCGACTGACTTCACCTTCCATTGCATCCAATTTGTTCTCAAAGTTCAGGCTCTCCTCCTGGGAAAGGAGGGGAGGGGAGGGCCAGGCTGGAGTGTGAGAGCCAGAGAAGAGGGCCTGCTAGTCTTCCCAGATTCTCACCATAGAGCCAAGCCCCCTCCTAACTTCATCTAGATCCACAAAGCAATTTCCTTACAATAAGTCCCTACATATAGGACCCCACCACACACGTCTAACCCATTTATATTCATTCTACCCTGCCATTCCCACACACCACACCTGCATGTAAGCCTTCAACTGCAGGTAAACTCGAGTGATGTGTTCTGCCTCATTGGCCTTCAGCCGGGCCTTTTCCAGCCGATTTTCCAGGTTGCGCATGGTCTGGGGGAGAGGTGGCAGTGATTAGGCATGATTCCTCCTCTCTCCAGGTCATTGACCAATTGTGAGCTCTCTGCTCCCATAACCCACCCTGCTTGGATTGGGCAGGGCTTCATGCCCACCTTTGCCACCTCAGTATCACTGTCTTGAAATTCATTAATCTCTAGCTCTCGAAGTGAATACTGCAACTGGAGCTCTTCTATTCGCTGCTGCCTTTGTTCTGCTTCATGTCGAAGGGCATTTAATTGTTTCATCTTCTCATTCAGCCGGTGATCCACAAGGGCCAGAGCTTCCTGGGGGCCAAGATCAAATGATAGATATAAATGTGTGTACATATGATACAGACATGCATATATCATATGTGTATATATAAATGTGGTATACATATGACACAGACAGCTGATACACATATCACATATGTAGATACATGAATGTGTGTACATAGATACACACAGCTGATACACATATCACCTATGTATAAACATAAACGTGTGTGTACATAGATACAGATAGCTGATACATACATATATCACATGTATATATAAATATGCATATACATGTGATACAGATGCTGTTACATATACACATAAATGATACAGACAGCTGACAGATATACATACCATGTGTATATATAAATGTGCATGTAATATGATACAGGCAGCTGATACATATACATATCACATATGCATATATATAAATGTGTATGTGTACATATGATGCAGATACTGGATACATATACATATCACATATATAAACGTGTCGATGTATATATGATACAGACACCTGATACATATGCACATATACAATATATGTACATATAAATGTGTGTGAACATATGGTACAGACAGTCGATACATATATACCCCATCATGCACGTATATAAAATGTGTGTGCACACACACATACACACATGTTCTGAGTCAGGATCCAGGACTCAGAAAAGGAGGTTATTATTAAAAGGGCCTCCTGGAAGTCTGGAGGTTGAGGGTCCTGCTGTGGCTGAGGCTACCTTTGCAACCTACCTCTCCATTCTTGTTTTTCAGATAAGGCTTTTCCTCCTTCCACTCGCTGATAACCCAGTGCAGCACTTTCTCATCACCCTGGGAAGCCAAGAAATCAAAACCATTCCCTACCCTATCGAACCCCCAGGCTTGTTTCCCCCCACCAGGAGGGCATCAATAGCAAAGTTCCCCACACAAACACTCCTCTAGGAGCCTTGTTTTCCTGACATAGCCCGCTCCCATGACCCAGGTGGCCTTGGTCTAGCCCAGCCCGGGAGCTTTCCCCTGAAAGGTCAGTGGAGCATGGGAGTCTCCCTCCCCCACCCTCCCTGCTTCCTCCCACCCAGTCCCCTCTTCTGCTCCCTCCACTCCAGCCCTCACACTGAACAAGTCTGACAGCTTCTGGTACGATATCTTGTTCTCTTCTCGAAGGTGTTTAATAGTTTCCTTGTTCTTTTTGATGGTCCACTGAGTGCTCTCATAGAAGCACTTACGTTCGCCCTCTGGGGGCAAAGCAGAGTGTGAGCACCCACCATACTGCCACCTCCTACTTCCCATCTCCTCCCTTTCCCAACTATCATTCCCAACCTTCAGCCCTTGTCCTACCCACAAATACCCCATTTCCTACCCTCCTCCTGAATCTCTCCTTCCATCTCCCCCATCAGCCCACTGCTTGCTAATCCTACTCTTCTCTTCACTCCTATGTTCCTCTCTCCAGCTGACCTTGGTTTGATTAGCACGCTGTCTTTGATCTCCCTCTCAAACTATGGACTCTCTACATTGTCTCAGGTCTGGCCATGACCTCAATATTCTGAACCCCATCTCACCACCCTTTCTTTCTTGGTTCTGGTCACGATCATTCCCTTATCTCTCCCTGAGCCCAACTTCTTTCCAACATCTCCCCAGGCTTAGGCCACATCAGCTGCCCCGTTTCTTTCTTTCCTTTACCCCCACACACATGCTTACCCAACAACTGGATCTTCTTGTGCAGCTCAGAAATCTGCACGTGAACGGGAGGCTTCACTCCAGAATGACTGAAATGTGGATGACTCTGCATTTGTTTTGCGTGATGCTTTGAGGCTGGCCTCGAGGAGATGGAACGGAAGGAACGGAAAGAACGGGTCTTGGGGAAGGGGGAAGCAGCTGGGGAATGCAGGGGAACCATGTTTAATCTTTTGCAAGGGAGTCTCCTTAGCCTCTGGATGAAGGGTAAGATAGAGCCCTAGCCTAGGGGGAGGGAACAGAAATTAGCCTATGACTGGGGTACAGAAAAAAGAAGATATCCGCCTGGGTTGAGGGAGCAGGTTGTGGCCAAGCCTGTGGGATTTAGAATGTGGGAAGAGTATCCTGGGAAGTCAGAGAAGGAACTAAGGGGAGAGAAGGAAAAATAAGGATTGGAGGTCGGGGAAGAACAGAGGGGATCTGAGGGCTTATTCCCAGGGTTCAGGGAAGGACTGTCCCAGGACGGGAGGGATCTGTGGGAAAGGCTAGCGCCTGGACATTCCTGGAGGGAGCTCTGCTGTCGCCTGCGGCTCAGATTCCAGGGTCCCTAGGACTCCCACACAGTCTAGGTCCAGATGAAGCCTCTCAGCATCTGTTTCCGTTGCTAGGAAACCATCTCCCCCTCCTCCCTCCGTCCGCTACTATGGAAACCGGCCGCGTCCCACGCGATCGTTCCCATTGGCTGGCGCTACGCCACGGGGATGGGAAGTGGGACCAGCCTAGAGGCTGGGCGGGGCATGCTGGGAAAGAAGGAATGAGGGAAGGGAGGAAGTTTGGGGTGAAGGGTGGCAGGGTCTGCCGTATAATCTCGGACTTCTAGTTCCTGGAGATCGGGCCAGAACTATCAGTGAAGGCAGGGGAAAAAGATAGGGAAATTTTTCATTCATTTCTGTCTTTTCAACATTAAGTCGCTCCGCTACCAAGATGGCGCCCGCAGCCGCCATTAAGCGCGAGACCCCTGCTTTGACTGTCCTACCCAAGGTGGCTGTTATAGCTTGAGATTCCTTTTCGCCACTCTCAACATGGCTACCATAGTGGTCGTTCCCGCCCCTCTTCCGGGAAGCCAGGATTGGACAGTAGGCCGGAAGTTCTGGAGTTCCTTGCTTCCGCTTCCTGTTCCTGGCTGGAGCCTGATCGGGCGTGTGCTGGGAAGCAGGGGTGGACGAGAGTGGCTTCTGGCTTCTGGCCCCGACCCCGCGTAGGTCCGCCGACGGGGTGGGTGGGTGGGAGGCTGATGAGTGCCTACATTTGTGGTGAGTGGCCACCATTGGCTGGGGGGGAGGTTATGAGGGACTCCCTTTGGCTGAGAGGTCAGGTCTCCCGTTGGTTGGGAGGGGGGTGATGAAAGACTCAGAGGAGGGTAAGGGGCTCTCAGTGGCTGAAAGGGGGATGGGAGTTCCCATTGGCTGAGAGGGAGGTGAGGGACTCCCATTGGCCAAGAAGTAGGTGGGCCCCATTGGCTAGGAGGCGGGTAAGTTAGTGCATGAGGACTGTGATCGTCTGCTTTGTGTTTGTTATTGTAGTTTGCAAGGTTAAGACTAGGCATCCCTTTCCTTAGGTCCTCACCTCCCGTGTGTTTTTCTTCTTGCCCTAGGAGTTGCTGCTGCTTCCTGTACCCAGCACAATGTTTCTGCCACCTCTCCTGCTGCTGCTAAGCTTTGCCACAGCTGCCGTTGAAGTCAAAAGGCCTCGAGGTGTCTCCCTTACCAGTGAGTTTTTTGCAGGAGGCCAGAGGCTAGTTAGGAGGAGGCACCGTGGAGCCTCCAGCAACCTCCTAAAGTCAATGGAATTGGAGGTTGGAGTGGGAACAAAACCTGGCTTTGCTGAACATTGTCTAAATTTCCTATTCTTGGGTGGGGGGCTGGGTAAGAATAATATGTTTTGAGTTTCTAAGCCGTAAGGAAGTGACCTCTGGGTTAGTATTTACACCTAATGTTATGCATTGGTCCACAAGAGAGGGTCAGAAACCTTTTGTAGTCAATAGAGCTTCATTGGGTCCACTGATCTTATGTGGGTGGAAAGCTAAAGTTATTTTTCATTATGCTCTTCAGATCATCATTTCTATGACAAATCTAAGCCCTTCACCTGCCTGGATGGATCTTCCACTATCCCCTTTGATCAAGTAAATGATGACTACTGTGATTGTCAGGATGGCTCCGATGAACCAGGTGGGAATGAGGGACTCACTGGAGGAGCGTAGAAGGGGCAAGAGAAGTGTTCCCTGTGTGGACCTAACTACATCTTCAAGTGGGAGGGTGAAGGCTATATATGTCAGCTGAGAAAGGGCTTCTACTTGGTCTTCCCCTTTTTCTATTTTCCTCTTTTGATCTCATTTGTGTTGGTCACTCTTTTAGTTTCTTGTCTGTTTGAGCTTGGTCCAGGCTGTCCACATGGCTGTGAGTTTAACTGTCTTTCTCTTTCTGTTCCTCTGTTTGTTTCTCCATCTGCACATAAGATGCGTCTTTCTTTGTGACCATCCATCTGTCTCAGCATCTATTCGTATCTCCCTTCTGTTTGTATTAGCCATTTGTCCATCTGTTGTCTATTTGTCTCTGCATCTTTTCAGATGCGCCTATCATTGTGTCTGTCTCTCTGTTTGCATCCATCCATCTGCCTCTGTGTGTCTGTCCATTCATGTGTTTGTCCATCTGGGTTTTTCTGTTGCTGTCTGTTTATCTTTATGTCTATAAAGATGTCTTCCTACCTATTTTGTGTCCACCTGTCTCTGTTCTTTTCTGTCTATATGTCAGTCAGTCTTTGTCTGTGCATGTGTTTCTTATTATGCCTGTGTCTAGCCGTATGCATCTCTGTTAGTATGTCCACCCATCTGTCTATATCCTTCGAACTGCCCATGTCCATCTTTCCCTATGTCTCTGCATTCTTCTCTGTATGTCCACATGGGTGTGTCTGCCAATTTGTCTCTATCTGTGTGTCCATCTGGGTTTGTCAGTTTCTGTCTGTCAAGCCAACGAGGATTTATTAAGTGTCTACTATGTGAATCAGGTTAAGTGTTATAGATACAAAGAAAGCCAAAAAAAAAACCAATCCATGCCCATAGTCTAATTAATAAAGGAGACAAAATGCAAACTACTACGGACAGACAAGATCTATACCGAGGTATATTGGAGACATTCTCAGAGGGAAGACACTAAGTCTTGCTTCAGGAGGACTAGGATAGATTTCTTGCTGAAACGAACTTCAGCTGAGATCAGAAAGAAGCCAGGAGGTAGAGATGAGGGTGAAGAGAATTCCAGGTATGAGAGGAAGCCAGTGTCACTGGATTGCAGAGTATGGGTCTGGTAAATGTAAGAAGACCGGAAAAATAGATAGGAGCCAGGTTATGAAAGGCTTTAAAAGCCAAATAGATGGTTTTGTTGTTGATCCTGAAGGCAGCTTGCACATTGGTCTCCGTGCTTGCCTCTCCATCCCCGTGTCTCTGTGTCTGTCTAGGTCTGCGTTTCTTTCTCCTCTGTGTCTATATTTGTGACTCTGTGGGTCTCCGTATGCCTTTCTTTATTACCAACCTCAGTTTCCCTTTGTCTCTCCATTCTCTGTGTATTGTTTCGTTTTTCACCTTGGATCAGTTTATTTCAGTAGGATGTAATAAATAACTTCTGCCTTTCTCCATGACTGTCAGGAACTGCTGCCTGCCCAGAGGGACGCTTCCACTGTACCAATGCTGGCTATAAGCCCCACTATATCCCCTCAAGCCGTGTCAATGATGGGATCTGTGGTAAGACTACTTCTGGCTAGAGGCCAGGGCTAGGACAGTTGTCCTGGTACCAGATCTGGTCTCAATGGCTCCTCTCTGTTCCGCTCCTTTAGATTGCTGTGATGCCACAGATGAGTACAACAGTGGTGTCATCTGTGAGAACACATGCAGGTACATGGTTGGGTGGTTAGGGGGAGATTCGTTTACTACCAACTCCTTTCTCCCTTAGAGGTGCCAGGCCTCCATTCCCAGTCTCAAGAGCGGGCTTAGGTCCTCAAGTATATGCACACACACAGCTGTAGGCTTGGGACTGGCACACTCATCATTCTCCCCATATTTAGGGTTCCTCAAAGCCAGGCTAGAACTCACCATCCTTGATGGATGGGGAGTCAGGAAGCCCCATTGGAATGCTCTGTGAGGTCTGGTTCTAGGAATTTTGCTTTCCCTTAACCCATGTGTGATTCCTCTCCATCCACGTGGGCTGCCCACCCAGGGAAATGGGCCGGAAGGAGAAGGAGACTCTGGAACAGATGGCGGAAGTTGCCCGTGAGGGCTTCCGGCTCAAGAAGATCTTAATTGAAGAAGGGAAGAAGGGCCAGGAGGAAAAGCGGGTGAGTCGGGGCGGTGTTCGGTCTCTGTTCCAAAGGGATTGCCCCACTCTGGTGAAAGGGTAGGGTTTAGGCATGACCCTTCAATCCTTGGTATCTCTGGGCATGTGTCCTCACCTGTGAGGTGAGAGAGTTGGCAAAGATGATTTCCAAGGTTCATTTCAGCTAATTCTGGTGATCCCTGATTTTATCAGGAGCCTAGAGGTAGAGGGAGGAGATTAGGGATTATCTTTCTGATGGAAACTCTGTTGGGTCTTGTGTTAGTGTGATTTGCAAGGTCTTGTTCTCCCTCCTAAATCCCTAATCCCCTTGGCTCCTGTGTGCCCTTACTTGGCCCCAAGGCTCGTGTCAGAGCAAGGCAAATAGAATTGTGTTTGAGGTGAGCAGACACAGGTGCCTTAATTCCTCCCTTCTCTTGCCCTTGCTCATCAGAGGTTGAGTGTCTGTCCCCTTGGCGCAGTTCATTTGGTGACTCTGCCCTACATCTCATTCTTTATTAAAGACGTAGGAGATTCCCTTTCTAATCTGGAGCTATGAGTGCCCAGCCAGTGGAAAAGAGGCAGGAACAGCTTTTCTGTGGCAGGGTTGGTTCTCTGACCTTTACCCAGCTGGCTCAGGGCAGCTGCTAGTCATAGGGCAGCAGAGAGAGTGGGATTGGCAGGGGATAACGAACTTGGAAAATTATCAGCTTGTAGTAGTAGAGGAATTTAACTTGGAGCCAAATGACTGGGGCTGAGTTTTCTGTCCTGTCCAGGTGACACTGAACAAGGCCTTTCCCCTTTTTGGCACTCAGTTTTTCCCTTAGTAGAATGGGGGGATTCCCTTAGGCAGGGGTGGGGAACCTTTGGCCTTTAAGCCACACGTGGTCCTCTGAGTCCTTGAGTTCAGATTTCACAGAACAGATCCTTTTATTAAGGGGGAGATTTGTTCTGTGAAGTTTGGATTCAGTCAAAGGACCACTCTTGAGGACCTAGGGGACCACAGGTTCCCCACCCCTGTCTTAGATAATCCCTAGAGTTCGTTTTACCTCTGCATTTGTGGTTGTATGGCTTTGGGTGGGGGTGGGGGGCAGGTCAGCTGTATCGTTGGGCTGCTTGAATGGGAAGAGGTAGCTGTTTCCACTCCCCTTGGGCCAGCCCTGGGGACTCTGCCCCTGGCCAGCCTGGCCCTCAAGCAGGCAGTACTCAAGTACTTTCTCTCTTGCACAACCAGAGCAGGCTCCTTGGTTTACAAGAGTCGAAGAAGGCCCTGGAGGAGCAGGTGGCAATGCTGAGAGCAGTGAAGGAGGAAGCAGAGAAGCCTGAGAAAGAATTCAAGGAGCGGCACCAGAGGCTGTGGGAAGGTGACCTGCCCTAAAGGTCTCCCACTGCCCTTGGTTCCACAGGAAGTTCCCCGTGCCCTCTGTTGCAGCACAAGATGGGATGGCGTTTATTGTTATTATTGGTCATTGTTAGCCACGCTAAGGACCAGTGCTGAGAGTGAGATTGGAGTTTGAAGAGTCAGGGAAGGGGGTGGGCGGGAAGTGAACCTTGAAGGCTGGAGTTTGGTTAGAAAAGGGCATTCTAGGCAGAGACAAACAGGACCTGGGCCTGGGGTGGTGGGGTGGAAAAGAAGGAAGTGCCCCCTTGCTTCTCCATTCTTCCTGGCTTTGGGAACAGTCCCAGCTCCCTGCTGGGAGTAATGGAGTAATGGAGCTGGTTGTGTGTGAACAGAGCAGCAGGCTGCAGCCAGGGCCACAAGGGACCAGGAGCAGGCCGCCAGTGCTTTCCAGGAGTTGGATGACAACACCGATGGAGTGTGAGTCCTGCGGGCTGCAGAGGGTACTGCTTCCTGGAGCCTCCTCCTTGCAGCTCCTGTCTGCTTCAGGGTCCCAGCTCTTGCATGGGAAGAGCAATTGACAGAGTTGATTTCAGACCTCTGTCGTTCTCCACCCCATCCCCTACTCCCGACCTAGGGAGAAGGGACTGCTTCCAACCTGAGGGCCTTTGGGGGCAAACACGCTCATCTCAGCTCTGAGATCGGAGCTGCCTTAGATTACGTGAGATGTTTGTAGCTTGAGGTTGGTTATCCTCCCTAGGTATTTAATAATAGTGCTAAAAGATTGGCTGACAACAGGGAAGGTAGCTTTGGTACAGGCTTGAGAAAGTGGCATCTTCTCGGCTTCTGTTATCCCTGAATCAGGATCATAGGTTTGGAGCTAGAAAGAAAGGGGCTTTAGAGATCACCTAGTCCAGCTTGGTCATTTTACAGATTAGGAACTCTGAGGCCCAGCAAGATTGATTGATTTGTCTGGAGTTGCAGAGCTACCAAATGTCTAAGGCAGGATTTGAACTCAGGTCTTACTCTGTCTACGTCTCTGTTCACTGTGCAATACTACCTGACTTCTGAGGTGATTTGAGACCGAGGAAGAAATGTTAAGTTCTAATTCTGTGGGTAGAGGGTCATGTTTTGGGGAAATGGTTTATCAGCCTTAGCCAGCTGTCCTCTCCCCTCCACACACTAAGTAAGCCCTTTCTTACCACTTGCCACTAAGATGACCACTTCTATGACAAGCCAATCCCTCATCCTGTCTCTCTTTCCAGGATTTCCGTGGCTGAACTTCAGACTCACCCAGAGCTGGACCCCGATGGTGATGGGGCTTTGTCAGAAGCAGAAGCCCAGGTAACCAGGTTGTCACCCCACTAGCTATTCCTACAGTATGTGCCCATAACCCCCAGCCAGGGTTGGGAGGTGAAAGGTAGAGACTAGCTAATACCCTACTCTGAGCTGCCCCTTGACCACACTCCCTCACATAAAGGGCAGGACCAAGCCTTGTAGGGTCCTTTAGCGGAAACCCTCTTGACAGGGCCCAGAGGCCTGAGCAGGACTGTTTCCTCCTGTCTCATACCTCCTCGTGGGTGACTTGAGTCAGCAGCAGCTCTGCCGGGGTTGACTAGAGGCTCCTTCCTGGCTTGGTGATTGAGTCTTCCCTTAAGGGCCAGCTGGATTGCGGAACGCCCCCCAGGACTGGGGAGGTGGGGGTGCAGGCATGCATGTTCTGCCTACTGTATTATGGCTGGGCCTAAGGGAGAAATGCAAACCCTGGTAACAGTGGGGCTCAGGTGGGAGCCCTGTGTTCTGTGACGTGTGCACACTTGCCTGCGGCTCCTAGGGGGTTTGCTGACTGGTGGTGGGTGGGCAGAGGGAGCCTTCTCTCCTTGCTTCAGTGAAGCCGCTTCCAGAAGATGCCAGGGGAGGGGCAAGTTCCCTGGGTAGGCATTGCCAGCAGGGGGCAGTGCCGGTGCAGGGAGCTCCTCCAGGAAGTCCCCAGTTCTGTGTGAGGGGCGATGCCAGCTCATCCTGGGCTAGGGTCTCTCTTGTCTTCCCATCATCCTTTGCTCCATGGCCTAAATAAGAGTCACCCAGGGGTCCTGAAGGGCAATGATAGAGGCTGAAACTAGAGGGGTTGGGACAGAGGGTGCTCTGAGTGGTGCCATCCTCCACCCCAGGGCCTCCTCCCTGGTTCCAGTTCCAAAGTCATCCTGTGTGACCTTGGTTGAGTAACATAACTTCTCTTGGCTTGTTTTCTCATCTGTAAAATGGGATTACCAAGACTTGCATGCCCTACTTCACAGTGGGGTTGTAAGGAAGGCCCTTAGCAGCCTAAAGCACTGTCAGAGTAGGTGCTGCTTTTGTCTTCGTCTGCTCCAGGCTCTTTTAGGAGAGGCCTTGCGTGTGGATGCTGCCAGCTTCCAAGAAGGCCTGTGGGCAGCCATCAAGGATAAGTACCGGCAGGAGGTGAGTAGCCTGGGCCAGGCAGCCGAGGGAAGGGGGAAGGGGGTCCAGGAGGCATGGGCGGGGTGTGGGGGTGGCCTGTAGCCAGCAGGGGGAGACAGCAGCACACGTGGCTGGCCTAAGCTAGACCGAAGGGACTCGGTGACCTCACAAAGGATCTGCCAGCCTGGGGGAGGCAGGGAAGGAGGCAGAGCGGGGGCTAAGATTTCGTTCCCTGGAGCCCATCCATCCCAACCAGCTGGGCCCGGCAGCAGCAGATGCTGCCATTCCTGATTAACAAGGCAGCTGCCACCCTTCCTCCTCCCCACCCACTGTCCTAGCCTGTGGTCACAGTGGCAGTCCCCCCCCCCAGGTGAGCTCTCATCTGACAAGAGCCGTGTTCCTTTTGCTCTCCAGTGACTCTGCCTACCCCATTCTGATTCCTCAGGGTCTTTCCCTAACTTAGGGACTTTCTTAACCTAAAAAAGCAAGCCATTGAGGGGGGAATTGGAGCTCACAGGCACAAATGGCAGAGGGTGTGCTGGGATTAAAAAGAATCTCTAGTCTCCAGATCTGGCCATGAGAAAGAGAAAGCATTGCCTGTGTCCTCTAGTCCCTGCCTACTGTGCCACCCCTTGCTGAGGCCACAACAGAGAATTTGCTAGAGGTCCCAGAACAGCCATCCCCAGCAGAGGATGAAGATGAAGGGCCTGGGTTGGAAGAAGAAATGGAGGAGGATGAAGAGGACGAAGAAGAAGATACCCCTGAGGAGGATAAGGTAGGGCGAGTGGAGGCAGTGTGGGCTCTGAGGAGGCTGGGGGCAGGGTGGAGGCAGGCACTGGCTGGCTTCCTGGAAGCCCATTAAGAAATGGCAGTCACTAAAGCTGCTCAGGCTGACTACAGCTAGGGCAGGGAAAGGCAGGAACATCTCTTCTCCAGGACCCAGGGGAATGGCTTAAAAGGGATGGTGCTCCCTGGTGCTAGGGGGAGGCTGTTTGTTGGCTCTGCCTGCCCTTCCCCTCCCCCCAGCCCAGCCTAGATCAGCCTTTGTTTGGGCTCAGGGCCTGGGGACCTGAAGCCCATGCAGTGGAGGTAAAGGCTTTTGTGGGAGAGAGGTAATAGGGTAGGCCAGGAGTACATAGTCCAGGTTTTAAGCCTGGGAGCACCTGGGCTGGGAGCCAGGGGCTTGGGTTCACCTTGTTTGTCACCTCTCCCCTTAGGAGCCCTTGCCCCCACAGTCAGTCAAGGTGGACAAGGAGGTGGAGAAGGACAAGATGCCTCCATATGATGAGAGAACACAAGCCTATATTGACGGTATGTGGTGAGGCCTTCAGGGGAGGGGAACATTTGGAGCTGATCCTTAGCCTGGGGCATTTTTTTGTCAGACAGGACATCTTATAGCCTTTAAGTAATTCTGGGGCTTGTGGTCCACCCCCTACCACAGGGGGTCTTCCTTTCCTGAGGAGGCCTCATCCAACATGGAGGTTCTAGACCAGGGGGATTTTCCCCCCACCCCATGAACTTCCCTTAGTGTTTGTCTAGAAAATATTGGCCGTCCACTACATACAAATCTATGCCCACACCTGAGGTGGGCCCTCCTATCAGGTAGCCTAGGTTCCATTTCCATTCCCACATGAAAAGTTAGCTCATATTGCAGGCTTTGACACCTGCTCCAGGTCCAGGGAGTGGATTTGACAGGTAGATCTGGAGGAGCTTGGAAGTGGAGGGGGAGATTGCTGGGAGTTTCCTGGAAGAGGTGGGCCTTATGTTTCAATCTTAGAGGGTTTGGCAGAGAGGCCAAGAGGCAGAAAGGAGGCTTCCTGCTGTGCTCAGCAGGGATGAGAATGCTAGTGATAGAGAAAGCCAGAGCAGCCTGTGGCCAGGCCTTGGAGGGCCTTGAGCCGAAGGCTGAGGATTTGAGCAGTTAGGGCATCGGGTTTTCAAGAAGGGGGTAATGTTGTAAAAGTGGTACTTGGGGAGATGGAAATTATAGCATCATAGGATATCTGAGCTGGGGCAAGGAACCTTAAAACAGGATTTTAGGGGGATGGGAAGGACCTTAGCAACCACCTGTTCCGCCCTCCCAGTTTTACAGATGGCAAGAGAAAGCAGCTTGTCACACAGTAAATTCATGGCAAAGCCAGCACCAGAAACCAGGCTTCCTGCTCCTGGTCCAAGGCTCTTATGTTGTGAATGTGAGGTGATGAGTGCCTGATAGTGACTGATTTCCAGTGTTCTTGGCTAGGCTGGCATGCCCACGAGTTGACATGACTAGGTTTATTGCCACCCTTTCTGAGGGTGGCCAGGAGATGACTTGGATCATCCTGGGGGCTGGCCTTTTGGAGTGGGAAGAGAGGAATTGAGGAATGGGCCTCCTGCTGCCCCAGCTTGGCTTCTTGAAAGGCTCTGGGTCAAGTTGAGGCTTCGTGTATAACCTCAGGGAGGTGGGTAGGGGAGGAGTCAGTGGGGTACTTTAAAGATTGACCACTTGTCCACAGGGAGGACCATCCCTCAATGTACTGGATAGTACTGCACTATGGAGCCTAGAACCAAGACTGTAGACATCCTCCCTGAGGTTGGGAAATATGTCTTCCTTGTAGAGAGTCCCAAGTGAAACTGACCAAGGAAAATCAGAAGGCAGGAATAGGTGAGCCTGTCCAGGCGGGGGCCCGTGCCTAGCCCTGTGGCCCTAGCTGGTTCTCTGAGGAGTTGACATCTTTTTGCTTTCACAGAAGGTGCTGACATTGCCCCCAGGACCCTGGCCTGGTGCTGTTGCCGTGCCTTTGTAATTTCCCTCTAGGCCCAGCCCATCAAAAGGGAACCACCAGCACCAAGCCCAGGGTATGAGTGCCTCAGATTGGACCTGGGTGGTGCTTCGCCCTGATTCTAGCTTTCTCTACTACTTACTCGCTTAGTGACCTGAGACAAGTCACTGTGCTTACAATGAGGGTATTGTCCTGGCTGACCCCTAGAGTCCCTTAGAGATACACAGGAGGCAGTGTGCAGAGGAAGGGATGTGTGTAGGACTCTTGCACCTGCTACCCTCAGTGTATCCCCAGAGTCTGAGCTGGAAATGCCTGTGTCTGATGGCATAGGACTGGAGAGCCTAGAATAGGTTGAGGGACAGCAAGTACAGATGGTGCTGGTACAGATGCACCCAATGAAGCAGGGTCAGACCGGTCTCTAAGACACTTCTCTGGGAAAGAAGGGAGGCTCAGCTTCCCCTCTCTCACAACAGGTTATCCCCACACCTCCACCCTCCCCAGTCAGTCACTGGGGAGAAAGTTGCTCCTGCCTACAGAGATGTCAAAACGGCTCTTTGATGCACACAGCTGCTGGGCGCAGCCACTTGAGAACAGTGGGGGACTTTTCTCCAGCTTCTGGCCAGATCCAGGGTCTCCACAACTGAAGAAAGTTGTTGAGGAGAGCCCAGGGGGGTTGGGCCTGACCCTGGATGTGTGTGGGGGAGCCTCTTAAGGGTGTGGCTTCAGTGTCCCCTGTTCCCCTTTCCTGCTTCCCCATGGGCCACTGGGCTTGTTTGTGAGTCTTTACCAGGCACTCTGGTTCTAGCAGTGGGTGAGGGAGGAGCCAGCAGGGTCCCCTAGGAGGCCTGCACTGAGCAGGGCAGAGAATTTTCTAGGCTTCCTGCTGAGAAGCCATGATTGGCCAAGGGCCAGGCACTAGATGTGGTAGGATGGGGCACCTGCGTTGGGGCTCCTCACTCAGGCTGATTTCCATCCATGCCCTGTGCCAACTGGAGCTGGGGCAGTTGAGAGGGTTGTTCTGAGGAGGCCTTGCTGCCTCTGCTCCTGAGACCTAAACTAGTACTCCAATGAGGGTAGGGGGTGGGCTTTTTCCGAGCCCCCTGCTCTCCTGGAGCCATAATTCACCCTAGATGAAAGACCTCCGGGCTGAGCATTTCTATCAGTTCAGATGGTAGCTGAGGCTGTGGTGCCCAAGGCACCGGGAAGGAGACAACCTTTAGCCAAGCCTCTTCTGAGCAGTGTCACACATGGTGGTTCCCAAAAGAGGGAGCTTGTAGGCATGTGCGTGGGTGCCTAAGCATTCTGTGAGTATGAGCACAGAGTTTTGTGTGTGCATCCGTCCTGCATGGTGTGCATGGGGCTGAGTGAGTGAACCTGCCATCTTGCAGAATGTATGTTTGTGGATTTGGAGTTCAGCGTTCTTTTGGGAGGGGCCGTATGCATGCACACTGAAGAGACTGGCATTTGTGTGGGGTTCTAAGTGTCCGGTGGTATCTTCATGCTCATTTGTGGTCCCTCACATGGGAGTGGCTTTGGGGTCAGAAGATTTAGAGGTAGAAAGGTCTCCCAGTCCAGCCTTCCCTGGTTACAGTGGAGGCAGCTGAGGCCCAGAGCAAGAATGGGACTCACCCTGAGGTCACACAGATAGTAAGTGGCCGAACCAGTGTTTGACCTCCTGCCTTCTGACTCACTGTGTGTGTGTGTGTGTGTGTGTGTGTGTGTGTGTCTGTCTGTCTGTCTGTCTGTGGTGATCCTGAGAGTGTGAGGAAGATGTCACGTGATTCTTCTCGGGGGAACATACTGTTTCCACTCCCTGGGAAAGGGAAGAGTAAGGCCAGTCATGGGGGCGGGGAGAAACCCAGGGCTGAGGGTCTGACAGGAGACACATGGCTTTCCCTTAGTTCTGTCCCACTGCTGAGAGTGCCAGGGTCTTTTGCCTGAGATGAGGCCCTCTTCTGGTAAAGGGAACCTGGGGCCCAGCGAGAGGGCAGTTACCAGGATTGGGCTGAGAGGGAGGCCCTGGCTTTACATCCTGGATGACTTGATTAGGACCCTTTGGGAGTCTGGTGCACTGGGATGTTCCCTGGGTGCTGCCTTGCTGCCACAGGGTCATCACACTGGGACCCCAAAAGACAGCTGCGGTGTGGGGAGAGGGGCCCCCAGCTATGGGAGGTGAGCAAATCCTAGTCTGAGGCTCAGATAGCTGTGAGCCTTTGTGCTGTTTGTTACCTATATTTCTGTGCTCCTTTGCTCTGGTGTCTTGAAATAGTAGAAAGAGCCCTGGGTTTGGAGTTCTGGGACCCATGTTCACATCCTAGTTCTGCAGCCAGGAACAGCTGTGTGAGTTTGGACAAGTGTCCTGATGTCTCTGGGCCTAAAATATGAGAGTGTAGACATCACAGGTCCACATCTGGCTGGCCACCTGTTGTTGCTTAGCCCCTTGAACTAACAGTGGAATTTAAAAATGTAAAAAACCCTTCTCAGCTTGCTGACCCCATACCAGATGCTCCTTAGGAGCCTTCCAGGCCTGGGATTGCCTCCCCCAAGGTACTGAGTAGGGAGAAGGAGATGATCCGATGTAGGCCCCAGCCCGTCATCTCTGGGTGTTTTGTGCCTTCCAGCGGCCCAGGAAGCTCGAGACCATTTTGAAGAAGCCGAAAAGTCATTGACAGAGATGGAGGAGTCCATCAGGTAGCTCCCTGGTCAGGGCCTGGGAGGGAGGCTGGCCCTGGTAGAGGATGGAGTGGGAAGGCAGAATTGGGGAGGGGTGGGGGTGGAGAACTCCTTAGAAATGCCTTAAGAGAAACCTTAATTTTTCCCCCCTCCCTCCCATCCCTTGTGAAAGAGAGCTTGCGTCCTTCCTTCCTCTCTGTCCCCAGGCCTGGGACAGAAAAGGAACAGAGACCCCTACACGGCCATCACAGGCCATGCCACCTTCTCTAGCATTGAGCACCATGCTGTGTGCCAGAGAGATACAGACAGACAAGCTGCAGGATGACCTTAGTAAGTCCATTAGGGCTTGAGACAAAGATGCACACAGCTTTGGTACAGAAGGGTGCCCATGAGTGACCACTGATCTCTGCAATCCTAGGGAAAGGAGCTGTAGTCACTTAGGCATTTGGATCTCACTATGGATTAGGGCTAGGTGTGAGCAGAGTGCCTCTTCTGCTCAGTATATTTGTCCTGGATGCTTTGCCTTCTGTTACCCAGTTTTCCCTCTTGGTTCCCATGGGGCATTCCACCCTTCCACCAAACTGTCCTCTGGGAAGTGGGGCAGGAAATAGCAGTCCCCTGTCACAGGTAGGGAAATTCCATCTTGTCGTGCAGGAAGGCTTTCGAAGGGCTGTGGACGAAGTAGATGCTAGGCACTGGGTCTCCTAACTTCACTGATGTGGCCTGAGCCCAGGGTTTAAAACCCTTGTGGAGCTGTGATCAGACCCCCATGGAGGGGGAGGAGCCACTGAGCTGGGGGGCAGGGGGGGGAGCAGAGACACACATCCCTCGCGGGAGGGATAGCCACAGAGTGCTGTGGGGAGGAGTTTAAAAGCTCCTCTCTGGTGCCTTGAGACGAGGCATTAACAAGGGCCCTCCCAGACGTCCTCAACTTAGCTGAGCTGCTATGGCAGGGGGATGGGGGTGGAGGAGAGCCCAAGCCCTGGGATTTGGGGCTGGGGCTCTGTCCTCTCCTGCCACCACCTCCAGCAGGGCCCCAGAGTCCCGGTAATTGAGGGTAGCCTTGGTTACAGGGAGGTGCAGAGGTGGCTTCACTAAGGAGTCCTGTGGCTCCCTGGGGGCCCCCTGCATCAGAACTGGGCTGGGGGGAGGGAAAGACAATGACTTGACTAGCTGGATTGGAACCCTGTTCATTGTGGAAGACTGGGACCCAGAGGCCTAAGTCACCTGTCCTGAATTTGGAGCTGGGGGAAATCATAAAATTTAGGATTTGAGGGGCTCTAAAAACATAACAGAAAGGGGCCTTCAGGCATAAAAGGACCTTAGACTTTGGAACGTGTTTGCTGCAAAAGACAGGGCGTTTTACTGGTGAGGAATCAGGTCTAAAGAAGAGTGTATAGGACCTGGTCAGAGTCTAAACCCAGGTTCTAACCCTGAATCCAGGGCTCCTTCCCCTTGTCTTGCTGATCATTGCTTTGGCATCAGGGAGGCTCCCTCACCCAAGGTGGGCTGCCCTCCCACCCATCCTTCCTATTGTCCTGCTGCAGGAACCTAGAGCAAGAGATGGCGCTGGACTTGGGTCCCAGTGGGGAGTTTTCCTACCTCTTTGGCCAGTGCTATGAGTTATCCACCAATGAGTAAGTGCCTGGGGACTGGCAACATCTCTGTACGCACTTAAAGGGGAGAAGATGCAAGGGAGAGACACCCCAGGGTTCTTACAGGGCCCTTGAAGGTGGGAGGGCAGGGAGGGCACTAGGAAGCCTGGGCTTCAGCACTGTGGCAGGGGTTAGAGTGACTCTGAAGGTGGATTCTGAATCGGGGGCCTCTCTCGTCTTGGTGGGGAAGAAAAGGGAGGGAGAGCTGGGGACGAGGCCTTCCCTTTTTCCTACTGGCACACCATCCTGGTTATTAATATCTTGTCTCAGAACCTGGGGTTGGGAGTAAAACCCCAAGAGGGGAGATCATGTATGTGCATCCAGATCCTAGGAATGGGATCTTGGGGAAAGAGCCCCAGGAGGGGACATCTGAGAAGGAGGGCATAGGCTGATTCCATGAGGAGCAGGATGGCCACTGGTTTGCTAGAGAAGATCTCAGGCTAGTATTTGCACTCCCACTCTGGGTCACTAATACCCCCTTCTGCCTGTGCAGATATATTTATAGACTGTGTCCCTTCAACCGAGTCACCCAGAAACCTAACCATGGAGGTTCTGAGACCAACTTGGGGTGAGTGTCCTCTCTTCCTCAGCCTTATCTGCCACTGCCCCACCACCACCATGTCACAGGACCCTCTGCCTCCCACCTCCCCCACTTCCCTCACCCTTATGCCCTTGTACCTCAGCCTGCCTTTCTCCCTGCAGCACGTGGGGGTCCTGGGATGCATCAGAGGAGGAGAAATTCCGCATCATGCATTATGAACATGGGACAGGTTGCTGGCAAGGCCCCAACCGCTCTACCAAGGTGAGGGCTATGGGAATTGGACAGGGTAGGGGGAGCCAGAGTCCCAGTGGACCCTCCACTGACATCCCTCGGTTTTGGGGGGGATGGGCTGTCTCAGGTGAAGCTGGTATGTGGGAAGGAAACTGTAGTCACGAGTGCCACAGAGCCAAGCCGATGTGAGTACCTGATGGAGCTGGTGACCCCAGCCGCGTGCCAGGAGCCGCCCCCAGAGTCCCCAGGGGATCCTGACCATGATGAGCTCTAAGCCCCCCAGGTATGACTGGCCCCACCCTGCCCCCTTTCCCCCACTCTCACCCCCAATCTGGGAGGCCATGTGTTGGAGAAAAGCCCTGCCAGTGGGAGCCAGGTCTTCCTACCCATGTCAGCCTCAAAAGAGGTTGGGCAAGTCCCTAGACTGATTTCCCATCTACACACTAACTTCCTGGGCCTGGGTTACTTCCTTCCCCAAGCCCTCCCTGTCTCTTCTTACCCCACCTGGGGCAGCTGCTTCCAGGGGAGTGGGGTGTAGGGCCAGCCCTCAGTAATCACCTTTCCCATTCTTTCCTGCAGAATCCCAGGGGAGAAGTTAATACCTCCAGGACCTGCATACACATCTCCCTCCCAACCCTGACCCAGGATATGTGCTCCTGCCCACCCTGGCTCTTTGGGGGCCAGTGCAGGGGGCCCCCTGAACCTTCCTCCTTGGAAGGCTCGCTATGTTGATGAAGAGAGTCTCGGTGTGCCTCCCTTGGAAGACCAAGAGGCTGCCTTTGATTGGGGAAGCCTCACCCATCCCTTCTGGTCTAGCTGCTCAAGTGACTGGGACACTTTGCCTGCCCAATCCCCCTCCCATGTTGGCAGCTCCACCCTGATGGGTGACTTGATGCCCTCTCACCCTGGCCTTGCTTCCGGCCCAGGTGGTACAACTGGCTACGTAGCTAGTGAGCAAGACCTGCTGGGGTGGGAGAGCCTGACTTCACTGTGACCTTGGCACAATAAACTCAGATCCTTCCCCATAGCTCCAAGTTGGCTCTCTTCATTCTTGATGCTGGAGGAGGGAGGGCTGGGGAAGGGAGGGTAGAGGGGTCCTGGGCCCCCCACTGCTACAGGCCCTGCTGAACACCTCTGGCAAATCACTTAGGCTCTCAGCCCTGGTTTTCTCCTCTGTAAAATGAGGACAGTAGTGGTACCTTTACAATGTACTTTATTGCAAACCTTGATATGGAATGCTGCTGGCTGTTATTGCTACCCCAGCCCAGAGTCTCTGGCTGCCTTACATCCCACCTAGAATGGCCTCCTCACACACCCTAAATGGAACACAGTGCAAGGATTTTATCCCTGTTCTAGAGATGAGGAAATGAGAGTACAAGAAGATGTTCTAGGCTGGGCCTTGCTCCCAGTCACACAGTCCTAAGTGTCTGAGGTGGGATTCAGACTTTGGTTTCCTCACGTCTGTCCCAGCAGGGCATTAACATTAAATGTAGGAATATGATAGCTGTCCACAATGCACAGACACCACCCCTTCACTCCCCTACACACTCAGAAGTACCAATACATGGGCTAGATCTCACATGTACACACTCACAAACAGATATGCTTCAACTCTCGAATGTACATTCAAACACACTCAAAAACACCAACAAATTCAATCTCACACATGTGCACCCAAAACCCATAAGATTCTGAACTTTTATTTTCTGGCATGAAAAGTACAAATAATCCAACGATTCCATGTAAAAGTCTGTTACAGCGTCAGGCCTGTAATCCCATAATAAATAGTCTAAACTCAACGCAAAGTGTTTTTTTTTTCTTTTTACAGTTTTTTTTTGATCCTCCAACATTTACTCTGTCATGATTTGAAACCATCCGAATAAATAACAGGATGAAGTGAGGAGGAGTGGGCAGAGCCCTCTCCTGCCTGCCAGCCCCCCTCCAGGGATGTGGAAGACCAGGGGCCCCCTCCCTTCCCCTCTGGGGAGCCCCAGCCACTCTGGGGGAAGGAAGGGGCCTGGCCATGGGAGCCTGGCTGAGTTTAGTTTAGTTTTAGAAAAAAATATCCCAAGCTGTGGGGGGGGGGGGGAGAGCCAGGCTGGGGGGAGGGGGCTCTGCCTGGGGAGTGGGAGTTTGGGGGAGGGGGGAGCGGGGAGGGGGCACCTCTCTCTCCTGCTCAGCAGAGCCCGGCCCTCAGGGCCCCCGCTGCCCCCCCCCAAGCCCCCAGCCCGCCCTTATTGCTCCGAGAAGCCTCAGGACACGTTGCACACACGTGTGCACATACGTGCTCACACGTGTCAAGGGCAGAGGGGGAAAAGCCCCAAGAAACAGGGGGAGAGAGGAGGGGAGAGCAAAGGGCCAAGGTGGGGGGGACGCCTGGGGCTGGGCCTGGGGGGGTAGGGGGGGCCTCTCCTATCCCTCCTTCCCTCAGGGTCCACCCTGCTCTGGGTCTGGGGAGAAGGAGGGTGGGGTTAGAAAATTCACAAGAATAAATAGATCCGTGTAGATAAACAACAAGCTTAAGTCTTCACCAGCTAATAGAATGAGGACTGAAAATAGTACCCAACAAGACAAGAGCAAAATCATAGAGCACATCGAAAAACCCCACGGAAGAACCGTCCGGATCCTGCCACCCCCCCGCTGCCCGCCCGGGCCGGCCTGGGCGCTGGGCCCCCGCCAGCCGCTCTCTCCAGTTACTCCAAAGAAATTCTGATCCAACTACACTTTTGTTCCCTTGGATAAATAAATTAGGCATAAACCACTTCTCAGCAAATTAAAAAAAATCTGTCCTTTAACTTGTGGATAGGATGAAGGAACAGAAATATACACAAATGTCCTCACGCGGCCGGAATAATAATAAATAGTTAAGTTAACAATAAGTTAAAACTACAAGAAGCTAAATTCTGCAAAAAGGTGTAGTAAGAGTTATTGGTGCCAGTTTCTCTCTCTCATTTTTATAGGTTTTTTTTTGTTTGTTGTTGTTCGCTTTTTTGTTTTTTTTGTGTGTTTTTTGTGTGTTTTTTTGTTTTTTGTTTTTTTTATTTTTTTTTTCTCGCAGCAGAAGCTCCACAGACACCTACAAACACTGGGGGAGCACAGGACGGTGGGAGCGCAGGGAGGGGGTCCAGGCCCCAAACTAACGCCTAACGGGAAACAAGGAAGAAGCTTGACTTGGGTGAATGGTGTCTCACTGAACTGAGGCTGAGCTGGGCTGCCCCAGCTGGGGAGAACGGAGCCCGCAGACCAAGGGGGCCAGGGCCAGGCCACGGTCTTCGCTTTTGTTGAAACGAAAAAACAGAAACTATAAATGCACATTCCAGACGGGATGGGAGGTGGAGTGGGGGGAGGAGGAAGGATGGAGGGGATGGGGGATGGGGATCTCTGAGGGGTGGGATGGGCAAGGGTCAGGGCCTGGGCCTGGGGGGCTGCCGCAGTTTCCCTGAACCAAGGAGAGGTTTGGGAGGGACCTAGGTGAGTGTGTCAGGGTGGGTAGAGGAGGTCAGGTGTGTCTACTTCCCTCTTTGTATTGTTCCCAGAAGATGGGTTTGGATGGGAGGGTGGGGCCAGCTCAGGCCGCCACAGCACCAGGGCCAGGGCTTGTCCACTGCGGGATAGGGAGGGATGTTGGCTGCCCAAGGTCTAGGGAACAGTCTCACCACCTGCCTCCCAAGGAGAGGCAGGGCTCCTGTGGCCCGGCCCCACGATAGGGTGAATAAAGATGGAAGATTGGTGTCTAGGAGACCAGGACTGTGTAGCTGAGGGGAGTGGCCGGCACTGACCCTATGCCTTTGGGACCACAGGGTTTGGAGGATGAGCTCCCTCCCATCCTGACTCCCACTAGTTAAGGGGAGGTACAACTTTCTTCCCAAACAATATGGTCATTGCTCCCACAGCCCTGACCCTGACTAGGGCTGAGATCTGGGCTCTGTACCCTTCTTGGCACTGGCCCCAGCCCCACTAGTTCTAGGGAGAGATGGTGTAGTGACAGAGGAAAAAGAAAGAGCCCCTGCCTCCACACCCCCCCCATTCTCTCAGGTCCCCCAGAATGAGCCCAAGAACCAGGCCCTGGCCTGAAGTCACCATGGCCTGGTCTGGGCCCCAAATCAGGATGTGCTGAGAGGCTGCCCAGCTCCTGCACTGTGACCTAAGGCCAGGGGGACCCCATAAGCTGACACAAGGGGAGGAGGAGATGGCTGGGGCTGGGGAGCATGGACCTTTGGCCCCTTGGGGCCATGCCCAGGGAGGCTGAGTGTCCCTCTGGTCCCTGGTCCGGCCCCAAGGTTAGTTCTGAGCTAGTATGTTAAGTCCTTCCATTCTGGGGCTCCCTTGAAGGGAAGCTTGAGGCAGTTTCTAGAAAGGGAGTTAAGCAGAGAGGGAGTGTCTGTGTTGTCATGTGTTGTCCTGCGTGTTCATGTATGTCTGCAACTGTCTGTATGGTAGAGGTGGAAAGTGTCTCTGATATCATGTGTGGGTGGGATCCTGTGTGACTGATGGCCCCTTGAGTGTGTATGTGTGTGTATATATATGTATATAACTGTGTGATCCTGTGTGTGTGCGTGCGTGCATGTGTGTGTGTGTGTGTGTGTGTGTGTGTGTGTGTATCTCAGGTATGACATTCCCAGGGTGCCCTTCAAGAGTCCCTCCTCTCCTCCCTCTCCAGGCCCCAACCTCAGCCCCATCAGCCTCACCTGCCAAAAAGCCTCTCATTTTTTTTTGTCTTTTTGTCTTTTTTTTTTGTCAAGTTCAAGAATCCCCAGTAAAAATTCTCCACAAGGTCTTTTTCCCTTTTTACAAAAATAGAGTTTTCTTTTTTTTTCCCCTTTTTTTCCATTGTGTTTCTGTTTTCAGCTTCTCCCCCCCGCCCGCCTCCCACCATCTCCTGGGGCCAGGCCCCCTTCTCAAGGTCTCTTTTTTTTGGGGATTTTTAAACCTGTTCCTTTGCCTCCCTCACCCCTCCTGGTCCTGGGGCCTGGAAGGGCAGGGGTCCCAGGCAGAATCTGCCTAGAATGATGGGGGGCCCTGAACCCCCACTTCCTCTGACTCCCCAGCCCCGGCTAAACCACCAGGTTTTTGCGTCTTCGGTTTTTGTTTTGCCAAAATAAAAGAAAAAACTTTCAGAATGACTGAAACCAAGAGCTCAGTGCTCAGGAAGATCGAGAGAGAGTGAGCGAATGAGCCAGTATCTGGGGGGGGGCAAGAAAGAAGGGAGTGGGGCTCAGGAGGGCCCCACCCCCAGCCCCTCTCTAAGGCCAGCGCCTTCCCCCGCTCCAGCCCAATTCCGCTCCCTAGTCCCCGGGAGGGTCTGGGGCAGAGAGAGGAGGGGGCCATTCATTCCGCCCTCCGGTTTCTAGTCCAGAGAGGGAGGTTCTGGCGCCCCCCAGCCCCCGCCCCGCCCCTAGCAGCAGTGGCTGCAGCGTGTCCTCCTGTCTGTCAGTCGACATCTGTCACGCTGCAAGGGAGAGGGGGAAGGGGGAGCAGGGGAGCAGGGAGGCCAGGTTGGGGAGCGGGGAAAAGGGGAGGGATGTTCCGGTAGGAACACTGGTGGGGCCAGGGCTAACACTGGGGGGCCAAGGGCTGCTGCCGGGGTGGGTTAGGGGTCGGGGTTGGGGAGTCAGGAGGGTGACCTAAGTTTGGGTGGCTGCTTCCTTCTCCGTGGGGGGTGAGGGTGGGGGTCTGTTCAGACGTCCACCAGTCCATCCGTGAGTCTGGTCAGTACTCCCCACCCCCCCACCTCCCCGAGCCTGGCCCAGCTCAGATTCTCGGCCCTGCCCACCCACTTTGCACCCTGACCTATCTGCTGCCCTGGCCCGCCCCGTCCAGCCCAGCCCGCCTGGCCCACCGGCCCACCCACCGGCGCTCACGCCTTGTGCTGCTTGCTGGTCTTGAACGAGACCTGCAGGATGCGGTCACCCAGGCGGTAGCCGTTGAGGCTGGCGATGGCCATGGCGGCCTCGTCGTAGTTGGTCATGGTCACGAAGCCAAAGCCTTTGCACTTATTGGTGGTGAAGTCGCGGATGACCTTGACGTTGGTCACGGCCCCAAAGGGCCCGAACAGCTGCCACAGGACGCTCTCGTCTGCCTCCGGGGACAGGTTGTAGACGAAGATGCACCAGCCAGCGCCCGATGCGCCCCCCGACAGGCTCACACCCGCCAGGCTGCTCATGCCGTCGATGGTGATGGGCGAAAACCTGGCGATGAGCGACAGGGGACTACTCTGGGTGTAACGCGGGTGTCCGGCCGGGGGGGCCGGGAACCAGCCCGACGAGGAGATTGGGGGTGGCAGCAGGGAGGGATGGGACTGACTGGCTGGATGATGGGGGGCAGGGAACAGAGAAGGAGGTGGAAGAAGGAGGTGGGGATGGGAGATGGGAGGAGGGGTCTAAGTGAAGAAGAAATGAGCATAGGGAATGGGGATGGGAGCAGATAAAAGGAAGAAGGGACTGGGATGAAAAGGGGATGGGCAAAAGAAAGGACTGAGAATTGAGAGTTGAGAGTCGGGGGCAGGAGACAAAGGAGATAAGGAGAGGATGTAGACAGACGCTAGATGGGATAGACAGAGATAAGGTAGGGAGGATGGACAGAGAACAGAGGGGACCCAGAATCAGATGGGTAAAAGAGTTGGTGGCGAACAGGAAGAGGAGCCAGATGAGACAAGATGGAGAAAAGGATAATGGGGACTAGGGACTGTATGAAAGATGGGGACGAGGATGGAGGAGGGGCAAGATGGAGCTGGGGTTGGAAGAGGTGAAGAGAGGGTGGGGACCTAGGGTGGGGTTAGGAGTTGGTCCAGGATGGATATGAAAGATAGGAACTAGGGATGGGGGACAGAGCTGGGAAAGGGGAGGAGGAGGTTCTGAATCCATGAGAAAGCTGGAGGACAGTCACAGGGAGACCCATGGCAGCAGCCCTGGCACCCAGGGAGGGGGGTGAGCTTGGTGCATGGAGGTAAGGGGAGTGGGAAGAGATCAGGATGTCCCCAGGTTGGGGGGAGGGGAAGGGACAGGAAATGAGGGGCCCTGGGGGAGCCAGTTACCTCTTTACGCCATAGGCCATGTTTAGCAAATTGTCCAGCCTGTGGGAGGGAGGGAGGAAGGTCAGTGACTGAACTCTGGTAGAGGGGGAGGTAGAGGATACCATGGGTGGGGGAACTCAGGCTTGCACGACTCCTATGCTGCCTACCCCTTGACATATATGTGGATGTACATGTGACACATCTGACAGAGGAAGGCACTAGCGAGTAGGTCCCCCTCAGGCTTACAGCCCAACGTGGGCAGGGTTCAGAGGGCTGTCCTCAGCACTTCCCCTCCCAGCCAGGGCACTGCCTGGCACGGAAACTCACATGGCCCAGCCTCAGCGTGGGTGCCCTTGTGTCCAGTGTTCAGGACAGTCTCCCCTCCCTGACTAGAGCAATCTTTTCCTTCCCCACTAAGGACTTCAAGAGTCTTGCCTAGAACCTAGACACAACCGAGAGATCACCCCCAGAAAGCGACATGGGGGGACATGACTTGTGAGATATTTGTAGAAAATCAGGGTTGCTGTTTGAAAGAGGTGATGGGTTCTTTTACTGGTGGTGGGTTTTTTTTTTAAATTTTGGGTTTTGTTTTGTTTTTTTGAGAACAGGGTAAGGGGGAGGATCAAGGTATCTCACCTGAACCTCTGTGTCTGGTGGTGCAGGGGTCCTGCATACCGCCGTGCTGAGGACTGGTAAAGGTGTGTGAGCAGGGCCTGGCCTGTCTTCTGGCTGGGGTTGTTGGCGAACTTGACAGTGATGGGCTCACTGGCGCCTAGTGGCTTCTGCCCATTCAGGCCCTTGATGGCCTCTTCTGCCTCAATCCTCTTGTCAAACCGAATGAAGCCCACGCCCCTAGAAACACCTGTGCAGGAGGGGGAGTGGGTGAGGAGCTCTGATCCCCTCCAGCCCAGTGTGTGGGGAGGGGCTCTGATGCTCCCCCACCTTGTAACGTCCCCGTGGGGAAGAGAGAGACAGTGGGGAGGGGAGTTCTGATGCCCTTAAACCCCAGGACACAGGTGGCTTCTGATGAGGAAGAAAAGGGGAAACTGTCCAAAGAAAATAAATAGCTCACATTTTTATAGGGCTTTGAGGTTGACCAAGCACTTTACCCACAACTCTGGGAGATAGTACAAAGGTTTTTATTCCCATTTTTACCAGTGAGAAAACAGAGACTCAGAGGTATTAAGCGACTTGCCCAAAGTCACAGGATTGGGGAATGTCAGTGCTGGGACTTGAACCCAGAACCTTCTGACTGAATCCAGTGTTCTTTGCACAAAGCCATATTAACTCTCAAAGAGCCCAACTTGGGAATGCACAGGGAACCACTTCAGATCTTTTAACATATGTACAAAAGATGAAAGCAAAGTCAGATAACAGAGAATGAGTTTCAAAGAGTGGTAGGTCCTATAAGAATAGTTTAGGAAATCAATGATAAAAAGTTTTTCTTTTTAAAAGTAAATTTTATTGATATTTTTACATTTCCTACATTTCCCAGTGGATCCCTTTCTCTCCTGCCCCCCTCCACCTCCCAGAGAACCAGCCTTGATAAGAAAGAATGTAAAAGATGGAGGAAGAAAGCAGTTCAGCAAAACTAATCAATACATCCAGGAAAAGTCTGACATTATATACAGTGTTCCACACTCATATTCCCCCACCTCTACAATGAATGGAGGGGAGATGCTTTTTTTTAATCTCTTCTTTTGGGCCAAACCTGGTCATTAAAATTTCATAGCATTCAGAGTTAGCTGTTCTGTTGCTGTTCTTTCCATTTACACTGTTGTGGTCATTGTATGTATCATGTTTTGTTTTGTTTTTTTTCCTGTTTCTGCTTACTTTTTTTTGCATCTGTTCATTTAAGTCTGCCCATGCTTTTCTGTATCCATCATACCCATCTTTTCTCACAGAACAGTGATATTCCCTTACATCCATATCCCATGTTCACTCCCCCAATCCATGGACATCTACTTGATTTCCAGTTCTTTGATACTATAGAAAGTGGTGACCTTTTTTTTTTAAGTGTCAATCAATCCATCCACAAAATATTTACAAAGCACCTACTGTGTATTCCATGAATTGTGTTAGGTGCTCAGAATACAAGGACAAAAGTAAAAAACAGTCTCTGACTTCAAAAGCCTTAAGCAGGAAATACACCCAAAGAAAGTAGATGCCCATTGACTGGAAGAGGGCTAACCAAATTCTGGTGTTTCAATATAATGGGATGTTACTGAACTGGAAGAGATTATGGGTATGAAAAATAGGGAGAAACTTGGGAAGACAAATGAGATGAGGCAAAGGGATGTGAGCAGGAAAGGGAAACAAACCTAGAGGAAGCAGAACCAAGTAAGGAAAACAATACACACAAAGACTATAACGACATGAACAACAATAACAATAACAATAACAACAAACCCCACAAAAGTCACTTCTATGAAATTCTAGCTGACCAAGCTTGGCCCCAAAGAAGAGATATGAGAAGAATGCACCTAGCCCCACTTCTTTAAAGAGGTGGGAGACCACGAGTGTGAAAGCAACTGCACGAGACGTTGGCCTAGGTCCATGCTTTGATGAGTTTTGCTCAGTTGTGTGGTTTTTTTCCCCCTGCTCTTAAATTTTTTTTTGTTGTTGTTGTTGTTATAAGGGATATTACAAGAGATGCCTCTCTGGGAGAGAGAGGGAAGAAGATCATTATAATTAAAAATGAAGGCAATGCAAAAATAAAATATAGCCATAAAAATTTCCATTAAAAAAAACACAGTTTTCAGAGCTCGAAAGCACAGCAGTGATTGTGAAGGCCAGCTGCTATAAGGGGCTTTTAAAAAGCCAGGGTGGAGGGAAAAGAATGATCAAAGAGCAGGGGCTCTTTTTTCACAATGTGGGAGACACTGAGAAGGGGCAACAGATAAAAAGTAAAGCTATTTCACTCTTGTTTTGTTTCTTTTTCCTCTAAGGAGAATAATCTTTTAACTGAGGCTAGACTAAATCTGGACAGACAAGTGAAATGGTAAGGTAACCTGTAGCTAAACTTAGCTGAGCTCTAGTCATCACAATTCGATAATAGGTAGCATTTATATAATACTTTAAGGTTTGAAAAGTGCTTTACCTATATTATCTCATTTGAGCTTTGCTATTATTATTATCTATTATTACTATTACTGTTACTACTACTAACTACTATAATTTTTAAAATTATTATTATTATTATTATCCCCATTTTACAGATAAGGAAACTGAAGCTGAGAGAGGTTGACTTGCCCAGCTGGTAAATACCTGAGGCAGGCCTGGAATTCTGGTCTTTCTGACTCCAGCTTCCAATCCACTGTACCGCCCAGGCTAAACTACTTAGCTCATGAGCTGAGTCTGGTTACTCAATTTAAGGAATTAAGTATTCAAATTAAGGAATTACTCAAATTAAAGGAATCAAGGCAGACAACCAAGATACAGTGGGGTATGAGTGTTGAGTAACTATCAGTCTTTGAAAAGTCACACCGAATTTGCAAGATATCTACCCTTCAAGGAGACCAAAGACAGTAAGTAAGAAAGGTTCTACCTAAGTCAAAATATTCATGGCATTCCTTTTTGTGGTAGCAAAGAATTGGAAGCAAAGTAGATGCCCATTGACTGGGGAAGAGCTAAATACATTGTGGCACTTGAAGGTAATGGAATATTGCTGACCCCTTAAGAAAGAAAGAACTTGAAGAATTCAGAGAAGCCTGGGAATACATCTGACAGTGCCAAGTCAGGTGAGCAGAACCAGGAAAACAATATACAAAATGACTGTAACAATGTAAATGGAAAGCACAACAACAAAACCTTCAGGTTGTATCATTATCGTGATCAAGGGTGGCCCCAGAAAGGAGCTGAGAAAATACAACTTTTTTTTTTTTTGCCAAGGTGGAGAGCTAAGGGGGTGGAATATTGCATATACTGTCAGACTCCATTGCTGTTTTCTGACCTTTTTTCCTCCTCATCTTTTTAATTCTTTGTTAAGAGAGATGGGTCCCTGGGTAAGAGGGGGAGGAGGAACGTATTTGGAAATGAAGGTAATGTAAAACCCAAAGATATTCATAACAATTAAGCTTTTTTTTTAAAGTGAAAATAACAGAGAGTGAGAAATGTGTTGGACTGGAAAGAGGCAAATATCCTGATTTTCCAAAAGGGAAGAGGTTAAGAGTCTTCAAACTCGAGGTCTAACTAAGCTTAACATTGATTCCTGGCAGTATTCTGAAATGATTACAGAGGAGGTCTGTGAGTACTTGCAATGGAAACTAGCAGTCATTAAAAGCCAAGAATGGGCTCATCAAGGACAGTCTAAAAGTCTTCCCTTTCTTGACAGTGTTATTAAGCTGATTAAAATGGAGAATGACATCGACAGCTCTACCTCAACATCCCACAGGCATCTCAGACATCTCAGACTCAGCATGTGTAAACCAACCTATTTTCCCTTAAGCCCACTCCTCCACCTAAAATCTCTATTTTTTGCCCCCACAGGGCATCACTATCCTTCAATTCGTCAGCATCATTCACAATAATTTTTACTCTTGATTCACATAGCCAATCAACTGCCAAATCTGGTGTCAGTCTTCTTAGCATCTCTCACTTCTAATATTTCTCTCTACTTCCATGCTGCTGTGATATTTCAGGACCTTGCTACCTCTCACCTAGACTACTGTAACTGTTTACTGAATTCGGGGTCTCCCTACATTCAATCTCCTCTCTCCAATCCTCCAAAAAGCTGACAAATGAATATTTTCAAGTGCAGATCACATTATGTAATTCCCTTGCTCAAAAAAAAAACACCTCAGTGGCTTCCCTATTCCTGTAATATAAAATCCACATTCCTCTCTTTGGCATCTAAAGCCCCTCACAATCTGGGTCCAGATCATCTTTTCTTAGGCTGATTACATGTCACTCCCCATCACACCCAGGAAGCTCCAGCTCCAGTGGCTGGTCTCCCACCTTAGTGCCTTGGTACGCTAGCTGTCTTTCACTGTGTCTTTCACTTTACATTATGCTTTCCTTTTTTCTCTCCAATTCTTGGAACCCCTTTCTCTCTCTTTGAGTCTCAGCTCTGGTACCACCTTTGTCAGGAGGCCTTTCTCAATTTCCCCAGGTGTCAGTGCCACACCCCATCACCAAATCACTACATCTATTTGGTATTCATCTCCTGTATTTATTTGCCTGTGTGTATCTCCACAACAGAATCTAAACTCCTTTAGACAGAATCTGGCTTACTTCTACATTTGAATCTCCAGCACCTATGTCTGGCACATAGTGGATACTTAAATGCTGATTGATTGACTGATTCAATGTATATAAGTCTATCTAGATTTCTTCAAGGTTTGGTGATCTCTCCCAAGACATCCTTGTGGACAAGATGTAGAGATAAAGGCTGGATAAAGAAGATTCTGAAATTATCGAATTACCAGACCCAAAGAGTGATGATTGATTCACTGAGGTCCATCTAGAGAAAGGTCTGTAGTGGAGGGCACCAAAAACCTGGCATAGGCTTTGGATTCTTTAATGTTTTTATCAAAGACTCAGATTTTCAAGGCATAGATGGTGTACTTATCAGATGTTCAGGCAACAATGCTGAAATCAGTCAAGAAAATTAATGCACTATGGGACAGCAAATATATATACAGTTGCTGCTTTCAGACCTCAAAACCTGCCCCTCCTTGGGACCTCCATGTTTATGTTGGCTCCACCTTCTAAGACACTCAAGACACAAAACCTGAGTCTCATATGCAATATTTCAATCTTTACCGATTTCCATTTCTAATCAGTTGCCAAAATCCTTCTATGATCTCTCTTCCTTCCATTTCCTTGTCACTGCAATTACCTGAACTCAGTCAGATCCTCTTTTCCTCTCTCTGGGATCACTGTATTAGGACCCTTCATTGACTTCCTCCCTAAAGTCTCTCCCTAATGGAGTCTATTCTTCAGAATGTTGTAAGAGGAAGCTTCTCATGAACTATTCTGATCATGTGATTCTGCTACTCAAAAAACTCATGGCCCTTCGTTGCCCATCAAGAAAAAGCATTGTCCCTTTAGGATGAAATTCAAGATCTCTACAAACTAGCTCTGAAAAATCTCTTCCAGCCCTGTCTCACACTCAGTTAATCAGTGAGCCAATAAATGGTTATTAGGCACCTACTGCATGCCAGGCATTATATATTCAATATTTTCAACATTCTGACTAAACATGACTACTCACCAGTAGTCTAGAATCCCAAAACATCTTGGCTAGAATGATGGGCCAAAGCCCGAAGGATATGGTCACTTGTATGACTTTGGATGAGTAATTCCCTTTCTCTAGCAAGCTTCTTCATCTGTAAAATTAGGGAATTGGACTGGATGATTTCTAAGGCACCTTCCTGCTCTAAATATATGCTTCTAAAATGAAATTTAGTAGGGACAAAGGACTTAAGTCCTACTCCTGGCACTCACAAGTCACAATGACAGAGGAGGAGAGGCATGACTTTTCGTGGAGTTTCGCATTTGAAAGGTGGATTATAAAGCTCAGTATTAGTTAAGAGTCTAACATGGAGATAAAAAAAAATCTCATGTGCTGTTAGGATGTACTCATAGTAGAGACAGTGGGTAGTAGAGGCTCTGTACTGACATCGGAATCAGGAAGACCCAGTGGGTCTGTCACTTCCTAGCACTGGAACCTGGGCTCATAGAACTTTTATGAGTCTGTTTCTTCACCTGTAAAATAGGGATAATAATAACACCTGTCTCCAGGGACTAGAGGTAAGGGTCAAATGAGATAATGTGTATGAAATGCCCTACAAATGGGAGTTGTTATTATTCCAGTGTTCAGAGTACTACAAGGTTCTGTCTCACTCAGACCAGGACAAGCTATATCTGGAGAACTGTCTTCAGTCTTGGGTACCACATGTTAGGAAAGAGTCAGAAAGACTGACAACCTGGAGCATGTCCAAAGGAAAGTAACCAGGAGGATGGTTAACTTAGGACATGTAAACATCCTGTTCTTTCCATTAGGTGAAAGAACTGTGTGTAGTTAACTTGGAGAAAAGATATGAGAGCTGTTTTCAAGTATTTGAAGGGCATGGAACAAGAAATAGATTCGATCTACTTAGAACCAGAGGGAAGAACTAGGAACTGTGTGTGGAGGCTGCAGAGAGACACATAGATGTGTGGAAAGAAACTTCCTAATAATTAGAACAGTCTCGAAGTGGAGATTTTCAAGTAGAAGCCAGATGAATCCTCTGTCAGGGAAATTACTATCTGCACACAGATTGGACTGAAAGATCTCTGAGATTCCCTTTTAACTGGGTTCCTTTGCCTGACTGGGTGAGGAGGGAGATAATTGGAGGCTTCTATCCATCCTCCCCTCCCCCATTGCCCTGTGCCCAAGGGCACATGTATGGGGGAGGAGAGAACAGGAACAGAGACCCCTGTGCCTGAGGTACCAGATCAGTGACTCTGATCAATACCTCAGTCAATACCCTGCAAAGTGCAGCTCATCGACTAATTCTGCCCTGAGCAGAAAACAGGGGAGGGGCCCTTGCTGTGGCCTGAGTATCTGGATCGGGGCACTCTCAAATCCCTTTTATTCTGATGCCCCTTTCCCTTGTGATCAAATCAGGCCCCTAAGCCTTGGACTCAGAACCCATCCCTCTGGAGTCACTTCCTCTCCAGCCCTCCTTCCCCTGCCCCTGCCCCCTTTGCTTTGTGCCAGCCAAGTGGTCTCTTTACCAGGCTAGCTAGCACACTGGGCATATCAGGCATTTTATCTTTACCTCCCTGGCCTGAATGAGGCAGTGCCAGGTATGGGGTACAGCCCTGAGGGAAAAACCTGAGATCGAGTTCAGTTCCAAAGACAGTTGGCAGTATGACTTTGGGCAAGTCCAGACCTCAGTTTCCCCTTGTGTAAAATGAAGGGGTTGGACCTATGCATCTGATCTTTGTGACTCTATGAGCTCCTAGAGGGCCTCTGATTAGCTCCCCACTCCCATCAATTCTTCCCCCTCCCACCCTTGGGCCAAATGAGGCAGGATGGGCTGTGCTGACCTGTGACCTGATCTACGAGGATTCGGGAGGTGATGATGCGCCCGTACTGGGAGAAGAGTTGCTCCATTTCCTTCTGGCTCATGGTCTTGGGGAGGCCACTCACATACAGGTTGGCATCTCTGATGGAGGCTGAGCTGGGCCGGGCGTAGGACACCTGGGGGTATTAGGGACCCATGCAGGATCCAGGGCCAGTGGGAATGAGGGGATAACCCCTGGCTTAGAGTTCATTTATCCAACCACCCCCACCCTTCCCTTCCCATTCTATAGATAGGGAAAGTGAGGACTAGTCTGGGGAGAAAGAGACCTCCCTATAGTCAGTCACACAGCTAGTCAAAGGAAAATCCAGAGCTAGACCACCTGGGCTTCCTCGAGGCCAAGCCCAGGCAGGCTTCAAGCCTCTGTTTTCTAGGAGCCTCAATGTCCCCACAGGCAAATGCCCAGAGTCACAGACACAGAAATTTGGGGAGGGGACAGCACTTTTTTTGGGGGGGGGATGGGGCAAGTGAAAGCACTACTAAGTTTCCATGGAAACTCTGATCAGACTCTCATCTTGAGTTTCCCACCTCCTGGGTTGGGGGAATGAGGGAACCTAGATTTTGAGGAGACTCACCCTCCCCCATGGTGTGGAGAAGCCATCTCTGAGCCTCTCCTTTCCCCCACCCAGATTTCCAGGGTAGGGACCCCTTTCCCCTCTAGTTAGAGAGAGACAGTAATACAGAGACAAGATCAGGATGAAAGACAAAGACGGAGACAGAAGGGGAAAAAAAAGAGTCAAGATGGAGACAAAGTTATGCAAATGAGAGAGAGAAAGAGAGAGTGTGAGAGAGGGAGAGAGTTAGGGAGACAGGGAAACTGGGAGGGAAAGGAAGAGGGAAAGGGAGAGGGAGAAAGAAGGAGAAAGGGAGAAGGGGAGAAGGAGGAAGACAAAGACAGAGAAAGACATAGACAGACTGGGACAGAAGACAGGGACATATTGTCAGTGAAACAGAAACAGACCTGGAGAGATGGAAGGATAGAGGGAAAGCCCTGGGTGGGGGGTCTTGACCCAAGGTTTGACCCTGCTTCTCTTCTGAATCAACAGAAACCCAGGTGTCCAGAAGCTGGGCCTTCCACTACACATAGTTCCTTCCCTTCTCTGATGCAACTATGATCCTCCCCCTCCTCACCCCCCACCCCGACAAACACACACACACACACACACACACACACACACACACACACACATACACACACACACACACTCACTCGATCGATCACACACACACACTCACACAGAGGCAAAAACTCACACGGACACAGACAAAGGGGGAGGGGCGGGGCCTGTGGTCACTAATCCCCCTTCCCCCCACCATGCCCTAATTAGGCAGCTCAGGCACCAGATGGGCCCCTCCCGCCATTTCCATGACAAAAACATGGAAAGTGCCGAGCCGATCCCCTCCCCCATCCCTGACCCCGGGTCAGCCTTCTGTCCGCCCTGCCTGGGGCGCAGGGGGCTGACCCCATTTCAAGGAGCAGGCTGAGCGCAGGGGGCTGACCTTGATGGTCTTGGTCTGCAGCTTGAGGCCATTGAGGGTGTTGATGGCTTTGTCCGCATCATTGGGGTCCACATAATTCACGAAGCCATAGCCCAAGCTTTGCCCTGGGGGGAATGGAGGGGAGGGATGTGGGTGTCAGAGAGGGACAAATAGCCTTGAAGCTGAAGCCTTCATAGTCAGAGAAAGAGTCCCCTAATAATAGCTAAAATTTAATTCATATGGTGTCTTAAGGTTCACAAAGTACTTATATTATCTCATTTGATAGATCCTGGAATCCCAAACTTATACTTCTCAAATCTCAAACTCAGATCCCTCAAAATCCAAACCTCTAGGCTCTCAAAAAATCCTGAGCCCAGGACAGTAACACCAGGCCAGGATTCTAAAGCATCCTATTTTCTCGCCCTGTGACCTCAACTCCACTACGCCTTTTTCCACCTTAGACCTATGACCCCTCTACCCCTCTCTCTCCCTGACCTCTTCCCACCAAGACCCTCATCCTCCCCCATGCAGGCTGGATCTATAACACTGTGCCTCTTTCCCCTCCCACCTATGACCCTCTTCCCCCTTCCCTGGATCAGGATCTGTAACTTCAATGACACCCATGACCTTGTCCCTCAGACTCAGGGCCATCTGGGACCTCTTTCCTCCACTTCCTCCCTGTGATTTCATCTCTCCTTCCCATTCATGACTTCCCCTGCCTTCCCATGGCCACCCACTAGGGCTTTGTCCTAGTCTGACTCCTCTCTTCTCATTCTCCCTTCTCCAGTCCTGACATTGCTCCCTTTGGGACATTGTCTACCCCCCCTCCCCTTCCAGGGCTAGGGCCCTCACCTGTGATCTTGTCCCGAACCAGCTTGCAGGACTCAATCTCCCCAATGCTGCCGAAGAGACTTTTGAACTCCTCCTGTGTCATGTTCTGGGGCAGGTAGTTGACAATGAGGTTGGTCTTGCTATCATCGGTGGCTCCGTTGGTGCTGACAAGCGGCCCATTGGGCAGGGCCGTAGGGGGGGGGCCGCCGGACACCTGAGTCTCCATGGTGCTAATTATCTGCTGGAGACAAAAGGAGCCATGCCTGGTGAGGGACCGTGGGAAGGGAGTGCTCAGAGACCCAGGACCCAGATTTAAGACCACCTGGCATTGTGGAAATGGAGAGCAGACAAGAGAATATGGGACCTTGGTGACAGAATTGGGGACCCAGTCCAGATGGAAGCGTGAGCTGCAGAGTCCAAAAGCACAGGACTTGAAACAGTCTTGGAGGGAGGAGGCAGGTGCATAGAGACCAATACCGAATATAACTTGTGAACCCCAAAGGCTGGAGGCCACATTTGCCACCCCCATCTGCACACATACACAAATATACACTCCCCTTCCCGTCCCCCCTCCAAAGTCTCATGGCCCTGAATACATCCTGGCCTTCCTCACAGTATAGGCCAAGTGATCATCCTCCCCCCTGTCCCCAGAGAGGGGGTTTGGGCCTCCCTAGAAGGATGCTCTGCCCTAAGACCTCCACCTACTATGCATCTCAGAGCACTGACCTCACCCCAACCCTGAGACTTAGCAGTTTCAATTTCATCCAGGACTGAGCTGGCTAAGCCTCTAATGGGGATCAGATCAAGACAGGATCCATCCCCCCCCTGCCCCGCCTGCACCAGTCCAGCCTGGCATATGGCCCCTGTCGGGGGTGGGAGTGGGGGAGGGAGGTTTCCATTGCTGGGAGAAGAGCCACATCCTAACCAGAGACAGACTCGGAAATAGTAAAAGACATAGAGAAACAAATACAGAGGCAGATACACACACACACACACACACACACACACACACACACACACACACACACACGGCTGCCCAGAGATCCAGAGACATGCATTCAGATGACCAGAGACATGTGTAGGGAAATACCCAGACACACTGAAACAGGAATAATGATGATGCTCGAAGACATAGATATATAAAGATAATTTCAGATAAAGGATAGACATTCTCAAGAAAGAAAACAAAAAGCCCCCAACCAAGCCTTCACATACTTTCTGTTTCTTGTATCTTTTCTCTGTCTTTGGACTGCAGAGAGAAGGCCTTGGCTGGTTGCCATGGAAATTCTTCACTAGACTAAGCCCAAGCACCCCACTAACCCATAGTCCCAGCTTAGTTAACTATTTTTCCCCTCCCTCACAAGTCAGAAGCCATCTTCCAATATTGCAGGCATTTCTCCTCCCCCCTACTCCACTGGGTTTGGAGTCAGAGGACCTAGGTTTGAATCTGGACTTTGTCACTTACTATATGTGTGTGACTTTAGGCAAATTACTTCTCCACTCTGGGCCAAACCAGTTTGCTGCTCTGCAAAATGAGAGGATTGATGACCCAGAAGGGTCCTTCCAGCTCTAGATTCCATAATCTAAATCCTAAGACCTTCCCTATACAGAGAAGTCTCAAAACAGTTGCCCCCACAGAGCGAACTGGTCCTGTTGGAGAGATTTCTCAATACGGAGAGCACCTCCCTCTAGTAAGTAACATTTAGGAAGTACCATTTCAGCAACAAACACACCTGAGTCATAGGAAGTTGAGATTCCCTAGCACACAGAGACTGCAGAGACAGAGACAACAGACACAGGGAGACAAATACAGAGACACAGACACATACAAACACGCCCCTCCAGCCCCTCCTCCTCCCAACAATGGGGCATTGAGTGGTGGCGTCAGCGGCACGAGGGCTGCCTGCCACCACCGGGCCTAAGGCTCTGGCATTCCCACACCCCCACCCCTTTATGCCTAGAGAAAAGGGGATCCTGGAGTTCTGAGTCAGGGAATCAAGAAGCCTAGGTTACATTTGTGCCGTAAAGGTTTCTCTCCCAGACTATCCTTTCCTCTCCTCACAGTCCTGCCTCAGTTTACTCTCAGGGTAGCCCTCCTATGACAGTTATTCTTCTTCCTTGCCACCACCTCCACCCACCCAAGGGATCCGCATTCCTTAAAAAGGCAATGAATTTGATAAACCTTGACCTCAAGTCTTCATTTTCCAAAGGTCTGCCCCACCCATCTCACCTGACCCTTCTCTCAACAAATTGTGTTGGGGCTTAGATGGAGCTTCAGCGGTTACTTCCAACAGTTCTAGATGTTCCCCAGTGTAAGGTCCCTGATCATTTGTGAACCCCGAGTCCCTGTATGACATTTTGCCTTGGCTTACTCAGGAAGGGAAGCAAAAGGCCCCAAAGTTTGACATGGGGGTGGGGGTGGTCCTTGACTCTAGGGAAAGGGTCTTCTTTGCACACTCGCTTATTTGCCTCTTTCATCACTGTAGAAGAGATGGGGGAGGACAGGGGCTTAGGGGTACATTGCTTCCCAGTTTCTAGGAATATATGAACCTCTGGGCCTCTGGAGAGGCAAACCCAATCCTAGCCCCAGGATAAGAGGTTAGTATGAAACCTCACAGGCAAACGATCTTGGCAGGGAGACAAGGGGAACCAGAAAGAGAGGAGCGGTGTGTACAGGCTAGGGAGAAGACATGGGTAGAGAGGTGGCTTGAGAGTCAGGGGTAGATAAGGGAAAGGGAGATAGAGGAGCAGAAAGAAAGAGACTGAGGCACAGAGGTGAGGGGGCAGGGCAGAATATCTAAGGACAGGAGTACGAAAACAGGGGTGGTAAGGATAGAAATGGACAAGTACAGAGATATAGTGGATGAGACAAGCTGAGACAGATAGGGAAAGGGACCAGGAAAAAGACACCCTGGCTGGAAGAGAGACACTGGAGTAGTGGACCGGCACGCAGAGACAGGACAGAGACATTAGGGGTAGAGACAAAGCAAAGGGCAGAATCAGATAGGTACAAAGAGAGAGGGGGAAGTACTAGAACGAGGGGCAGTGCAAACGGGAGTGGGGGTGGGGGATGGGAGGGAGGGAGGGAGTGGAGAACAGAGTCAAAGACAGGGTAGGAAGAGGGAGGCAGGGACAGAGATGTAGGTCTAGAAATAGGGACTTAAGAGATAGAGACAGCAAGAGTAAAAGACAGAAACAAAGGAAGGCAAACAGCGAGTCCAGGTACAGAAGGGAGGTCGAGAGAAAGAAGGCTGCGGGCAGGAAATCACTTGCGAGATGGGGCTGCCTGCTGTGCGCTGGCAGGAGCTGCCTGGAACCCCAGCGGGCTCGGGGGCGGGGCCGGCGTGGGTGGGGCATGGAGGGGCGGGGCCGATGTGGGAGGGGCTCAGAGCCCGGGAACTGGCCAGCTCCCTGACTGCTGAAAACCTTCAGGCCTAGCCCGGCGGGGCCATGCATTGTGGGGTGGGGTCTGGTTGGGTGGGGTCTGGCAGGGCGGAGCCGAAGTATGGAGACGCGAGCGCCTTCTGCAGCCCCCGCGCTCGCTCCTCCACTGCTCGGCCCGCTCAAGGTCACCCCGAGGCAGAGCCCGAACCCCTTCGCCCCAGGGCTCCCAGCTCAGTCTGAGGCCACTCCCCCTGCCGGTCACTAGCCTCGCTAGGTCCTAGGGGTGGGGATTGAAGGGGGGGCAGAAAGGAAGGGTGCCCTTTAGACACGCCCTGGGCGGGGGGGCAGAGGCTGGATGGCAGGTGGATTTGGGGCAACAAGAGATCGATCTTTTTCTCCAAAGGAACCCGAACGGGGACTGGGTGGGGGGAGCGGGTCTAGGGTCTGCAGGACTATGGTCTTCTGAAGATCTTCGGGACCTTTAGGCCCCCAAAACCTATACTGGTGGTGAGGAATTCTTGGAGGTTTCGAGGGTCTCGGGGGTCATAGATGCGTGGGACCCTAAATTGGGAAGCTTGGTACTGGGGGTGGGGGCTCAGGGACTTGAAGGGGCGTGGGGTTGGGTTGGTCCTACCCCTGCCGCAGCCCTCCCTTCCCTTCTCTGCTGCTGCATCGATGACCCTCACCCCCATCCCCCACCCCCACCCTTGCTTGGTTCGTGGCCATCCCTGGGAAGAGGATGGGAGCCCCCACCCCCGTGAACCACTTCTCCCGACTCCTCTTTCCTTCTTCCACTCCCCCCGCCACCCTCCCCACCCCACCCCGCCCAAACCCGAGGCGGCTGCGAAGGCGTCCGCGCAAGACGGCGGCGGTGATGGCGAGAAGATCCGAGAAACAAAGAGATGTCTCGGGCCGGGCCCGCGGCATTCCAGCAGGGCGGGCACAGCGCCCCCAGTCCCCCCCCCCCCTGGCCCCCGCCCCTCCTGCCGCAAGGTCGACCGGGCGGAGGACAAACGCCGCCCCCCCAGTCCCCGCCCGGCCCAAGACCCCAGAATCTCAATGTAACGACAGTCCTTGACACACCCGCCTTCCCCCTCCCCCAGACAGCAGTAGCGCCCCCGCTCAGTGGCCCACTCCCTGAGTCTGCCACCGCCGCTCCCCGGGGCCCTGCGCAGCGCAACGCAGCCCCACCCGGCCCGATTCCCCCATTCAGGCCCCATCTCTCCATCTCCATCTCCCCGGGTTCCATCCCCCAAGGATGCAGGCTCCCATTGGATCTAGGCCCACATCTCCATCCATCTCTTCCCGTCCTTCCCACCCCCCCACCCCCCAGTTCAACCAACCCATAACGCCGAAGCTGGAGCTTGAATTCAAACCCATTCACCGCCTCCCCTCCCCATCCCTGAGGCCCCATCTTCATCTCATTTTAGTCACCCCTCCCTTCACCAGGACTCTCGGCCCATCCCTATACAGCATCCCCCAATCTCTGCCCCAAAAGGATTCTTCTCTAACCTGCACTGGGACTCGGGCCCAACCCTGTCCGTCGCCTCCCCTCCCAATCTTCCAGGCCAGTCCCCACCCTCAATTCCACTCTTATTATATATCAATCTTCCTCCCCCATCCAGGCCCCATTTTTATTCTCCCCCCTTCCCAGGCTGTCGAGCGCTATTCCTTTCTCCCTAGGCCCCTCCATTCCCATCCCCCCCCCCCGTCGTTTCCCCCTCCCTTCACCCTTCTAACGCTCGGGCCCATTCTTACCCTCCCCCCACCAGGCCCATGAGGCTTCTGAGTCCGCAGAGCTTCAGCATCCTCAGGCAGGAGAAGGGGGAGGGGACCCAGCCTGGCCTCACGGGTTGGGGGGTGGAGGGGTGAGGTGGACGCCCAGCAAATCGACCCTTTCTTCACTTCCCTCCTCCAAATGCCCTATCATCCTCCAAATCCACCACCCCTCCCCCCCCATCCCTTCGCGAGCCGCTCGCGCGGACGGAGGATACCTACAGTGACCATTCTTCTGGGTCCGGCGGGCGCGGTTTTGGCTAGAGGCGGCTCTGGGGGGCCCGGATTCGGGCGTCCGTCAGCCCAGAGGCCCCGGCACCATGCGAGGCCCGCGGCCTGAGCCTAACCGCTCGTTAACTCCGGAGGCGGCCGCTCCCTCGAAGAAGGGTTGGGGAACTGGGGAATAATCGGGAGGACCGGGGATAGCGGCGACAGCAGCGATCCAGGAGGCCCAGCCCTGATGGGGAGGCGGCGGCCGCGGAGGAGGGAGAGGCGAGAGCGTGAAGATGGAGTTGGGGGGGCGGCGGCGTCGGGGGGGGGCGGGGAGTGACGCCCCGGCTCTGCCCAGCTAGCTCTGGGCTGCTAGGGGCGGGGGGGCCCCCGGGAGGGGGAGCTGTGGTTCCCAAAAACAAATAGCGATGCTCCTCCCTAGCCGCAGCTGTAGCCGCCGCCCAGCCCCGGCCCCGGCCCCGGCCCTGCTTGTCCCCGCTCCCCGCCCGCCCGCCCGCCCCGGCCCCTGCCCCGGCCCGCGCTGTGAGCTGCGCGCTGTGTGTCGCGGCGCCGCCGCCCCCGGCCCTTTATACCACCAGCTGCCGCCGCCGAAGCAGCTCATTGGCTGCTCTGTGCAAGGGTTCCCTCCGCCTCCTCACCCCGCTACCCTGCTCCCCCTCCCGGCCCCCAGTCAGCTCGGCAGGTGGAGGCAGAGACCCGCCGTCCAGGCTCCTCGCAGCCGCGCTGCTCCCCAAGCCTGACTTCAAGTCTTTCTCTTGAATTTTAGTCTCTCCCCTATCTGATACTGTCCCATTCATTCATTTACTCTTTTTAGTCCGACATCTATCCCTTTGCTCTCTCTCACCCTACGACGGGGTCATCTAGGGCAGCCCTGAGAAATCCGGCTAGAAAGTACTCTCAGGAAATCTGGAACCCTCTCTTTTCATGTGTGGGGAGGAAGAGTCAGTTGGCTAGGCCTGGGGACCGGTGTGAAACAAGGACCATTACCTCGCAGGGTCACAATGATCACGAGGAGCAGTGACCGAATTCTGGGAAAGGGGGAATCCTCTTCTATTGACACGTTTAATTCGGAATAGCCTGACTCTCTCTGTTTGGCTCGGTATTCCTTTGCCTTTCTGCGTCCCTGCTTCTCTCTTCAATTCCACAAACATTTATTAGCATCATATACAGGAATTGGGGGGGGGAATGAAAACAGTCTGTGCCCTGAAAGAGCTTACATTCTAATTCTGTCTTTCTGCTTCTGTGACCAGGTTCCTTTCGAGGTGTTGGTAGACCTTGATGGAGGAGTCTGAGAAAGTCAAATTATTCTTGGTACAAAAGAGTGCGTAGAAAAAAACCACACTATTCTCTGGACAAAAGGATAGCTAGGGACCCACCTGGTGTCTCTCTAATGTTGTCATTTTCCAAACCTTGCATTCTATGTTATTAAAGAGGACAGCCGGCCTGGGACTCTCCAAGAAAGAGGACCTACGCATAGGGATCCCATCGAAAGAGTGGAAACTTTAGGAGTGTTCATCACGCTTTGGACCCTGCATCTTGACCCCCGAAGTTCCCTGGCAAGGTAGGGCAGGTTGCGGGTTGTGCCGCAGCGCAACTCTTCGGGTACGTTGAGGGCTACGAGTCCAGGGAGAGGAACAGACCGATTCAGGAGCCTGAGGCCAGCGCAAAAGGCCGCTTGGAGATCCTCTTGACTGAAGAAGGGGCGGAATGAAGGAACCTGGCTCGGGCGCGAGGAGGGGGTGGAGCAGAGAAGAACAACCTCCTCAGCCCGACTACTGTGAGTTTCCCAGGGGCAACCCTAGGCCTCTGGATGGGGAGGAGAGGGGAAAATCAAGGCTTAGCCAATCACAACTCGAAGCCCGGAAAGCCGAAGAACCACGTGGATTCCCCCCCTCCCCACAAACTTAGGGTGGGCGGATACTACATAAAAATGAACAGAAGTTCCCGGCTTCTAATTGGCAGGGTAAACTACCGTCATACTCTCAGGCCCAGGGGAACCCATGGCTACTCCAGGCGGAGCCCAGGCTGAGCTTTCCGTGCATGTATAAGTCCTCAAATATCTGGATAGATAATTATGAGTTCACATATGTCCAGACGTACATACACACACGGACGGAAAGATGCATACTTGCATAGGCATATGTGCACACATGGCCACACATACATGCTTGCGCCTCGTCTCACATACATAAACACGTGTTCACATCCGTGCACCAACATGTGAAGAATGCACACGTTTAGACAAACTTCCGGCTGAGTTAGTGGTGGCTAAGACGCCACCCTCCCCCTTCCCGCATAGCCTCGGCCTCCGGAACCCAAACAATAGGAACCAGTCCCACTCTAAGGAGAGGAAAAGTAGCAGCTGCCTCTATTCCTCTCTATCTCTCCGTCCCGCCCCTGGAGCCTTTGTTCCCAGTGCCCAGTCTCTGGATTTTTGTTCGTCTCTCTCTAGCCCACACCTCTTTGACTCTGAGATGGAAGGCTCCTTTCCCGGAGGTGACCATTCCATTAAGCTCAGCTTCAGCACCATAGACAGCGCGCCACGACGGCTCCGTCCGCTCTTAAACCACGCGCAGCGCGCCAAGATTCCAGTAGCAGCTCCGTTGCGGAGGGAAGCTCTTCTTCCGCTCTCCCACTCCTCGCCTGTCCTATCCCTTTTGGGACAGAGGCCGAAACAAAAGGAGACTGAGAAGCAGAGGGGCAGGGTCTATCATCATGTCCTAGTATTGCCCTGTAGTTCAAATATCACAGATCAGCTTCACGCAGAACTCCGCACTACGGCTGCCAGACCCTTCTTGGAGCAATCACTGAACAGATGGAAAATCGCCCAATCAGGGAAAGTCATCGAAGAAACCAATTGTGGGCGGATGCTCACGTCGAAGGACCTAGAGCCAGCCAATCACGAAGTGGACAACAGGGGGTGCCGTTGGAGTATTGGCTACAAAGGCCATGACACCTTGACCCGTCGGAGAAGCCAATACAAGGCTCCTTAGGGATACCCCCTCGAGGGCCACACTTCGTGGGCTCTGGACTGTGGGGTGGAAGGACACCCATCTTGAACAAGTGCTCAGACTGGCTGGATAGTGGGGGATGGAGGACTGGCTGAAAATTACACCTGACCTTCCTTTCCTAAACTACTCAATGCATTGCTCTCCCCGAGCCGCCTGGGACTTTTTGGGAGGGCATTATGGGCCTCGCTGCCCTCTCCCAGCGCGGCTTCTCACGGTTGTTTGTTCACCCACAGCCGTGCTGGGTAAGAAGGAAACCAATGGAATGTTTTATAACAGCGTCGGCAGAGCCCGGTAGCTAAACTGAGGTTCACCTATTGGTCAGAATAGAGTACAGAAAGCATATTTTCCCTCACGTCAGCGAGTTTGGGGAGAAAAAAGCTGACTGGCCTCCGTGGGCGGGGAAGAACTGACAGTCCACCAGGGTCGAGGGAGAGGTGATGAGCGCGGTGGAACGGGAGGATACAGCGCTCCCACCAGCTTCTAGAAGCATAAGGCCTAAGCAGGGTTCCCATGGTAACTGCAGGTCTTCCTGCTGCGGCCGCATGGGAGGAGAGGGGGCGCGGTCTGAGACTGCCTCTCAGCCTCTAAACTGGGAGACTCCCTCTCCATTCTTACCTAAAACCACCCTCCAAGTGTCGGGGTTCTAATAGCCTCGGGCTTCAAACAACTCCTACCCAAACCTGAAAAGCACGAGGCGAAGGGCCACAATGGGAAGGTGAGGCAGAACTCCGCCTCTCTTTCAACGCGGGAGACTCCGGCGGGCCAAAAACCAGGTATGTCCGCAGCCAATCAGTGTCCCGATATCCCCAGGGCGGGAGTCGAGGGCGTGGGGTCGAGGCACGCGTCTAGACTCACAGCAGCGCCGCCAATCACGTGCTCCGCTCTTGCGAGGAACCTAGTCGCCACCTCCTGGCGAAAGGAGGCCACAAAACCTTAAAAAGACCCGGGTTCAGGGGCAGAATTCTCAAAACTGATTTGAAATATAGGGATTGGGACCTACGTGTCTTAGCACTAAACTTTTGTCCCCCAAAAAGGGTTGTTGGTCTATCCTCCCGGAGAATTATCACGATGGGAGGAGTGGGACGTGGAAGTAAAGCCCTAGATTTGGGGTCAGGTGATGTGGGTTTGCACCTATCCATCCTCCAACCCTTTGGGACCTAAGACACAACCCCTCAGAGTGGTTAGGCATACTCGTCTGCAAAAGGTATATACTACTTCGAAGCCCTCTCTCCTGGGGCTATGTTAAGTGCTGTGCCAACCCTCCTAAAAACAAACAAAAACACACTGTTCAACCCCAGCTCTCATAGAGGTGGGCCTCTTTTGTACTTGGTAGCCCAACACCCAGCACAGGGCTTACTGCTGACTGACACCTCCCAGTGTGTCAGTCTCAGCTGCAGAATCTGGGTAAAAGCAATGGCTTCACCCCGTTTCACTAAGGCTGCCTGACTAGTCGTTCATGAAAGGGATAAAAGTATGGATACATCCCTGAGGAGCTGACTCACCAACCACCAGGTGCAATGGGATGAGTTGCAGGGAACTGATCCCTGTTCCTGGGGATCCTGAGCTTCCATCCCTATCCCAAGCTCTGGCCCAAAGCCAAAGGAGCCCCGCTGCACGTACTGAAGAGCTCCCTTCTGGGCCTAAAGACCTCTTCTCCCGATAGTCTCTATCAGTGCTAAGGAGGGCGCAGTTTTCCTACCACCAGGGCATGAGAGAAAGAACAATCTGGAAAACCTGAAACACTAATCTAAGGCCCTAAGGCACACAGGAGTCTGAGTAAGAGCACAGGACCCTCCCAACCTTTCCTTAGGAAGGCAAAACTCATCTCTTCCCTTAGCCCAAAGTGTGAGAAAGGAGCTCCTCATTACCCAGGGCTCTCCTAGCTCCAGGAGAAAAGTCAACAGTCAACTGTCACCCCTGAAGGCAAGCAGAAAGGCACAGATCGGAGGCAGGGGCCTCTGGGGGAAAGTAGCAGACTATACATAATTGGGAAAAGCACACAGGCCACTCTTTTTTCCCTTTAGGCCCAAAGGGATGGAGATGAAAAGTTGGGCCTAGTCTTCCCAAGTGTTCTGGAGTGTGAACTCACCACTTTGGCCTTGAGCATACATAGAGGTGGGGTGGGGAGAGGGGTTTTTTTGGTGTGTCTTTTTTTTTTAATCATTTTTGCTCACTTAACACTGTTCCAGGTATCCAGCCCTCTTGCCCAGCGACTTAGCTGAGAGACCCCAGCTTTAAGGGGGTAGACCCATGCCCCACAACATCCAAGCAGATCCTTACAACACCTGCCATATCACCC